AATCATTTCTTAAAGATCAATTTTGTAGATTTATTATATATTTACTTTCATCTTAACTAAATTTTTAATTTAAATAGATGCTGAAATGTAATTAAATATTTTATTTTACTTATTTACATGCAAGAGATATGAACTCTAATGAAATTTATTTATTATAATTTTAGTTTAATACATTTATTTATCATTTAATTAGTATTAAAAATTAATATTGAAAGAAGAAATAATATTCTCAAGATTAGAAACAAATAGAAAATGTATTTTTATGTTAATACATTAGAATAATATTTCTGATATCAATAGAAATTATTTATATTTTATAAAAAGAAATATTTTATAATTAGAGATTCTATGTTTTTGAAAATATGTTGAATTGAAATGATTATAATGGAAATAAGAAATTAATTTGAAAGATTAAAGTGTATTAATAGTAAATTATCTATTATTTATAATACAAAAAAGAAAGTAAATGAAATCAAAGAATTATGACGATAAAAGAATTAATAATAAATAATATGAAACAATCAGTTTAAAGATATTCAGTAAAAATCTTATCTCATGAAATAATTGATAAAAAGGTTTACTACATAATAAATGTGTATAATATGGAAGGCGGTGAACCTAAAGAGACTAGAAAAAGGTATTCAGAATTAGAATCAATGCATCAAAAAATATTAGATTGGATTAATATTTTTAAAATACGAATTCAAAATCTCAATTTCCCTAAAAAAAAGTTATTCTTTCACACTAATTAAAGTGAGGAAAGTATTATTAAGAGAGTAAATTTTTTAATTATCAAAGAGAGGAGAATTATAATAATATTTCAATTAAGTATTCGCATATTCTGAATTATAATGTTTGGATGTGATTGAAGATATGCTCCCTAAGGATATTGTATGTTAAAAATAATTTGGTTAAAAAGTAGATAGAAAATGGTAAGAGATTTAATAACTGAAAGAATCATACCTAGCTAAACATGGCGATTCTATCTTTTCTTTACCTTAAAAAAAAATTGGGAATTCTAATAAGTATTTACTTAAATATATATGAATAGATAACAATATATTTTTAAATTTGAAGATCATATTATAATAGATGATTGTATTCTTTATACAATTGAAGTAAATGATACAATTACTCAAAAGAGATGGAAATTTAATTAACGATATTAGGATCTAAGAGATTATCATAGATAATTAAAGAATCTTCGTTTTGATTTCCCTCTTCCACATCTACCTGAAAAGAAATCTTTAAGTCCAAAAGAAATAATTGATTTAAGAGAAAGGAAATCTTAATTGGAATTTTATTTAAATAAATTGTTTGGGTATAATATTAAATTATATTTAGTTTTTAAATAATAGTTGAAAATGATATTATGGTTTTTTTAATAGCCAAAAGTTAATTAGATGGAAATGAGATTGGCTGTAGATCTTAAGGAAATAATTCTTAAAATACTCTAGATGTATTAATATATTATATATGATAGATTTCAAGTATCTAATCTAAAAGTCAAACTACAATCGAATAAATAGATGATGAAACAAGATTAAATCGTAAGATAACTTGTTGAATAAGTTTTATAGCTATTCAAATACTATTTATTATGATTGACTTATATTGTTATTTATAATATAATAAATAATCTTAATATTTTTGAAACTTCATTATTAACTATTATATTATTTTTTGAATTAATTCACTTTAATATACAAAATAGTTGTTATAATTGTAAACTTAAATCTAATTTAACAATAAAAATAATAAATTATTTTAATATAAACAATAATTATTTAGATTTATACATAAAATATGTTATTATTTCATTTTTATAATTACTCTAGTAGTTATTAGTTTGAAGAATTTGTGATATTATCTTCATATTTAAAGAAATCAACTTCTTAAAATTTAAAAATTTAATGTATTTTACAACAATCATTTAAACGAACAGCAAATTATAAATAGCTTCTATCATTCTATTCTTTAGGTAATAATTCCAAAACAATTTTACAATAATACTATAAGCCAACTTAAAAAATTTAATCAAATTAAGCTTTTTCTATTCCTTCTGTATTTGCAATAGATTTAATTAATTTCATTTCTTCTATATTTGTATCTTAGAGTGCTGTTTATGTTCTTTTAACTAATTCAATTAGAAATTCTGTTATTAAATAATAATCTTTCTTTATTATTTTTAATGAATCATTATATTCTTTACTTTAACAAAATATGGCCCATTCTTTTTCTGTAAATCTTTTAGTTGTACTTAAATTATATAAATTAAATATATACTTGTTTAAAGTCTTTTTTTATAATCTTGTTAATATCTTATATAAAATGAGAACTTAATATTTCGTTAATAAAAAACAAATTCCTAAATAGATACTTTAATTTAATTAGAATTTTTCTATTAATAAATAAAAATAATTATACATGCAGACCATTATTCAAATAATTCTTGTGAAAGTCTATTAAGAAATTCTGATTTATTTTTTTTATGTGTAATCCAATCTGAGATTTTTTTAATTATATAATTATTTATAATCTGTTCTTGTTATTCCTTTCCTAAAATAATTTAATTTTGATTAAAATTTGCAAGAGTTCTAATTGGTGAAGTTGATTATTATTTTTAAGAAAATATTCTTTCTTTTCTTACAGGACTAGATGAATTTTAATTTTTATTTTAATGTTAAGATTAAGTTGTATCAGTCGATCCAGTTTTATGAGAATCATTATTTATTTATTAATATGCTTTATCCATATATTCTTATTTTTATCTTCCATGTTGTATATTTTAAATTATACCTGTGTTTAAATTTTTCTCTAGATTCTTTCTTTTCAACATATCTTATTCCTAATTAATCTAAACTATATATTTATTTATAGTTATTTATGATTCTTATTCTAGTTAGATTTATAATTGAAATAATTCCTCCCAACTCATTCTATCTCTTTCATCTACCTTGAGCATTTTTTAAATAATTTATTGCATTTAATCAGAAACTCGAGGTATGGATGGAAATTTTAGAGGAACATTTAATATTTTAATTACTAGTTCTTAGAATGAAAAAGCTCTCCAAGGTGTCTATCCATAGAGAACTTCATAGAAAATGATTCCTAATGACCATATATCAGTTTTGGTAGAATATTATCTTGGTGTTTGATTATTAAGAATTTGTGGAGACATATACAAAGGAGTCCCTGCAAAAGTTTATAAAGTTTAGTTTTCGAAATCAGACAATATTTTACTAAATCCAAAATCTGAAATTTTAACTATACCTTTATTCATAAGTATATTGCTTGGTTTTAAATCACGATGAACTATATTCTATTTATACATTTCTTTATATCCATTTACTATTTAACTTAAAATTATTCTAGCCTCTGTTTCTGCTAAATATTTCAATTAATTTTTATGAGGACATTTCTTTGCAATATAAGAATCTAAAGTGCCTCCTTCACAAAATTCCATTATGAAATAAATATTATTTTAAGTTCTTTAAAATGAATGAAATTTGACTAAATTTGGATGTTGTAAACGCTACATTATTTAACTTTCATTTTCACACAATTTTCTCATTTACTCATTTTGCTTTTCATTCCCTTTAATATTGATAATCTTAACTGCTACTATCTCTTATGTTTTTGTATCCTTGCCTAAGCAAACTTCTCCAAATGTACCCTTTCCTAATTATTAACTCAAATCTATTTGATAATGGCCAACACTTTTACTATATTAGACATTTTTCATCTTTAATAATTATTTAATTACAATATTAAACCAAATTTTTTAATAATTGAGATAATAGCATTTTAATCAAAAATGAAGAATCTTAAATATCTAATAGAATATAGCTAGAGTTTAATATTTAAAATATTATAAATTAATCATTATTTATAAATAGATCTTCAAAATATTAGTAAATATTTATTATTAAAAATAATATCAATACAAAATAAGATAAGTATGTTTAATGAATTTAGAATTTCACTCATTTAATCTATTGTATTTTTTATTATAATCTTATTTTATATTGAATTTCTTATCTTAATTTTCATTTGAAATAATATATTCATATTTTTAGTGTAAATATATTAACATATGTAGTAGTTAACCATTTTGATTTATTGATATAATTTATCTAAATAAAAACGGATTCACATTAGTTATTAATTAAATTACCATGAAGATGGTCATCTTGATTCTGATTTTAACAATACTCAGCACATAAGCTTAAACATCATTAAGAGGCAAAAGTAAAATTGGTATGAGTGGCCTTTATTAAGACTAGAGTAGAACGAAGAATTATCATTTTTGCCAAATGATTATGCATCAGAACTATAAGAATACACATTGTTAGTTCAATTAAAAAAGCCTTTTTATGAAACAGCACCAATGGATGTTATGCTTCTTAATCATGAAATGGAGATAGCTAGAATGATGGGTAACCCAGGAGTAACAATGATGAATTATGTGCTTGAAGAGTCACCTTTCCGTCCTGCTTGGTGAGAAAATTAACTGGCATTAAATGATGATTCCTATTTCATTATGGAATAAACAACCTAAAATTACCACATTAATTTAGCATACATCAATTTTAATCTGGCAATAAATTTCTTTGCTTAATATAGAATTATATTAAAGAAATTATGTTCAATCTAATATTTATAGAAATCTGTTTTCATTATAATTCCATTCTTTTCTTATATCAAAAAAAAAATAAATGATTAAAGATATGAATAAAATGATCTTTTTCTAATTATTATTTCAATTATTAAAACTACAATAATAAATATTTAAACTTTCATATTAATAAGTAACACTAGAATATGAAATTCAATTATCATATTTTTTAAATTAAAATTTGAAATAGAATGTAGTAATAAAAACTTTGATTACTTACATTCTATTGATTATATTGATTTTTATTTGATTATTTATCAACAATATTGGTTAACTGGCAATTTCTATATGAATATTTCTATTTCTAGTTAATTATAAAAAAATGAATTAAAATTATATTGACCAAGTCTTTTTCACTAAGGTTTGAAATTCAATTTATTTAAGTAGCAATTCTATAGAGCATTTGGAAATTATTTTGGACCTCATACTTCAACACCTAGTATAGCATCAGAATATTTATCATCAACAAGAACATAAACAGCCAATTTGAACAAATAAAACAGTTTAGCAAAACCAATTACATCTCCTTAAAGTGTTAGAAAACCAATACATTAAAATTTTGAACGTGTAAAAACTTAGACTCAACATATTTCCAAATAACAGCCAATAGTTCATCATATTAAAAGTTTATCATCTGACTTAAAGAACTAACCTTAATAAAAAAGATTTATATAATAGAAAATTATATCATACTCAGAATCAGAATAACATCCATTTTTAATAATTTAAAAAAAAGCAAGGGAACTAAGAAAAATTGAATCTCGAAAAAGTATTTTGCCTTCAATTTATAATGATTCTTAACATAGTGCTAGATTACTAGAAACTCCTCCATTATTATAGATTCCAATTATATAAATTACAGAGCCATTAGAGTAGCATTCATCTAAAGGTTAGGAATATGAATCAGATAAAGATGATGATTCTTTAGATGAAGAAGATTTTCCTTAAGGATAATAAAGAATGAAGAAGCTCTCTGTTAGACTCAAATTCAAAAATGCTGTTTAATCTTAAGTTTCTACACTTTTTATAAATAAACAAGTATTTTATTAAATATATTTAAGCCAAAATCACTCTTTAATGTCATAATCTCACCTGAATTTACACTTAAGCATGAAGAAGAACGTCAAAAAATAAGTGATGCTTTCGAGGCTGGAAATTTTATTTTATATAAGGCTAAGTAATTTCAACATAAAGAAGTAACCAATAAGAAAAAATTATTTGTAAGCTTATTAAATATGAAACACCCTCATAAAATAAATAATATTGTTAATTCATAAATAGCTAAATTAAATACAACTAATAAAGCATTTCGAAGAAAAATTAAAATGATACTTACTACAACTGAAAACAACAAAGAAATTGAGTAACCCTAAAAATTTTCATTTTTATCAAAATATAAAAAAAGTTAATTTGGTTAATAAGGAACTAATGAACATATTGCATAAGGTATCAATTTAAATAAAGATTAATTTATAATTACAATTACTAATGATAAATTAGAAAATGAAATATAAATTTTTCAAAGACCTAAATTTTTAATTCAAATAGATTAAGTTAATGAAGAATTACAATTAGCATTATCTCCTCCTAAACTTGCTAAATCTCCTAGTAGAAGAGTCTTAACACATTCTGGATCTCTTCATTAATCTTAAAAACATATAAATTTAAGGCATTCAATCTCATAATAAATAATTAAAGTAGAAACCTCGAATATATAAATCGTTCCTAATATTGAAGAAAACCATAATTTAGATTTTAATTAAGAATTCTCAAAAGTAAAATAGATATATTATTTTATTCAAGTCAAATTTATATGTCAGACTTTACTATTAAAGTAAATTGCATAAATTGCCCAGGAAAACAACTTTTACTGGAATGAATCTACAAGAAATAGAAGATTACTTTACTTCTTAGTAGCAATTAATTAAATTAACAAATATGTATATCTATTTCTAAAGATATTTAGAAATTTTTAAGTTACAGAAGTACCTGGATTCGAATAACTTGGATAAGTATTGTAATAAAACCTAGAAATTCCAAAATACATAATTTACAAACCAAAATTATGCTTAGACATTAATTTAGATCAAACTTAAACATTTTCTTCTAGTGAATCAGATTAGAGTCTATCTTTAGATTTACTTTTAGAAGAACCAATTTAAAGTTTAATTTTAAATAAATTTAGGCCAGGATCATAATAATAACAAGAAAGTGGAAATTAAATGGTTAATAAAAAATAATCACTTAATAATTTAGATAAAGAAAAAGACTAGACCATATTTATAGAAGATGATTTTAAGAATTTGAAATGTAATTATTTATAATTAAATTATCTATCAGCTCTTTCAACTGGTTAATTGACTTTAATTAAGAAAGCCAGAAATAATTTTTTGTAACCACTTGAATTTAGATGCATTTTAAGCACATTAGATCAAAACACTAAAAATTAATTATTAACATTTCCTTAAAAAGCCAAACCAATAAATGAGATGTTAAATTCCCTCTATTCTGATAATGATAGTGGAGCATTTAACTAACTTGAATAATATAATAATTAGGAAATTTTAAAATTAAGAATAGTATTCTAATTAGAAGTTAGATACGAAGGAATCTTAGTTGGAAGATATTAAGATTATAAAAAGATTATTGATATAGAACACTAAGATTTAATAGAGACTTTATAAAATCTACCAGAAATACCAAAATTAAAGGAAATAGAATATTAATCAAAAAGTTAAAAATCATAAATGCAATAACAATAACAATATTAAAAATAATAATAAAAGTAATAACCTTAATAAATTGTAAAAACAGACTTATAAATTAGATAAATAGCTTAGATAAAGAAAAATCTGCATAATAAAACATAATTAAAAAAAAATCAAACATAAACGATAAATGTTTAACCAAATTTAAGAACAAAATAAACTAGTAATTCACCAGATTAAAATAACTCAAAATTAACAATGTAATATTCTAACTAATTGACTAATTAATAAACTTAAAATAATAATAATAATAATATTATTACTTAATCTACTACATAATATTTAACTAAACCAACTAACTAATCTTAATAATCAGTTAATATTTCAGGATCAAAAACAATCTAAAAAAGTAAATCAAACGCAGATTTAAGTGAAACATCATCCATAAAATCATCTAATAGTAGATTAGAAATTAGTTCATAATAGATTATAGATGTTGATAACTAAAAGCATTAGCCAAAAATCTAATAATTTCAAGAATTACCCATTGTAAAAAAACTCAATCATCATCATACTAAATCAGAAAATTTAATAAATAAGATCTTTGAACAAAAAGTATATATATCATTATTTATAAATAATCTCTTTAGATATAAAGTATGTAACAACATGCGTTGAGAATGAGGAGTCATGCAGAGGAATAAACAAAAAGATAGAAATATGATCAAAAATACTAAGTAAAATTTGCAATAGAGGATAACAATTTTTAAGAGGTAAATTAAATATTTAGAATTTACATAGTTTATGGAAAATTTTATTTCATTACCAGAAATGTATATTGATTATAGATTCTAAAATAATGATACATTCTTAACTTTAGCTACACAAAGTGGAAATAAGGAAATTGTAAAAGAGCTAATAAGGAGAGGAGCAGATATTAACATACAGAATGTATTTTTTTACTAAAAAAGGATGATGGAAATACCCCCTTGCATTTGGCAATAGCATATTCTCATTATATTATAGCTGACATGTTAATGTTTTCAGGAGCCTCTTCTCACATTTTAAATAAGTAGGGAAGGAATGCGTGGAATGTAATATGATAAATATATGTATCTACTAATAATTTTGTATAATAAATAGTTACTATTTTTGATCAATTTCGTTATTAATTGTAAAGTGAGATTAATATTAAAAATAATATTGTTAACTTAATGAATAAAGGAGCTGAGAAGAAGAGAACCTCTTCATTCAATAAATAAACAATAAATTAGATATATGATAGATATGATACATAGTAAAAGCAATTTTATTGTCCAAAATAAAAGAAAGATGTTAAAAATCTAATAAACAATCTAAAATTAAAATCATCTTATGAAAGTACTTTAGTGATGATTTCATAAAATGATTCTTTGAAGAATGTATTAAATGGTCTTACTAATAAATCTCCTAAGAGATTAATGAAAAAGTATATAAAAAAGACTCCTAGTACATCTTTACATACACCAGCTGATTTTACTATTAGAAATACTGAATAGTAATCTGAGTTAGCAAAGTAATAGTAATCTATATTAAATCAATAATCACAATAAATATCTTACCGATCTTTATTATAACACAACAAACGTAATTAGTGGGTAGATTTAATAAATCAAAAGAGTTCTAATTATATTCAATAAGATCAAATAGCAATAACAGAATATTAGTATAAATATTATGCTAAATTAGAGCCTAATAAGATATATAAATGACAAATAATTGTGATTGGAAATAACCATACACTTACTATAAGGAATAAAGACATCATAGTGAAATGTAAATAATTGAGAATTTAGAATTTGATAGTTGGAAAGAATTGATGATGACTCGAATAGTTTTGCGTTAATAATAATGAGAATATTTATAGTTAAATTTTGTAAAAAAATTACTATTTATAAATAATATTAAAGAATTTATTTTCTGATTAGATGCAATTTATAATATTTCACAAATCCCCAAATTTAAAATAAATTTAAATATCATTAAATGTCTGACGACGAGAATCAATTTGAGTAAGGAAATGCAGGATCATCTCATACCTATACTGAAAGTGCTGGCTCATTAAAAAAAGGAGGGTATGTTATGCTTAAGGGACATCCATGCAAGATAACTGATGTATCAACATCAAAAGCAGGAAAGCATGGTCATGCTAAAGTAATTTGTTAATTAAATTAAATTAGGCTTCTATTGTTGGAAAGGATATTTTTACAAATAAAACCTATGAAGATTCAGCACCTACTTCTCATAATATTGATGTTCCTTTTGTTACTAAAAAGGAATATACTTTGATGGATATCTAAGCTGATGGATTCGTCATTCTTATGAATGAGGATGGATCAACTAAAGAAGATCTCAAATTACCAGAAACTGAAGATGACTTCAATTTGGTTAAAGAAATCAGAGAATAATTTGATGCTGGCAAGTAATTTTAATCCATAAATATCTTAGAGATTTGTTGATTTCAGTTCTTTCAGCCATGGGAGAAGAAAAAATAGTTGCTTGTAGAGAGGCCTAAGACAAATGATTCACATTAAATATATATAGTAGATATTTATTGTAAATATAAAATCATTAATCCCATACATCTTTAAAAAAAGGATGCTTCAATGCATCACTTGCATTAATTCTTTTCTCTGGATTATATTATAACATTTAGCTTAATAAATTAGATATAAATACTTAAGTAAATCTAAAAAATTATCCAAGTCCTTTACTTAACTGAATTTCTCTTTCAAATTCTATTTTTTATACTTTTATAATTCTTTGAAAAATATTTTGTGGTCAAAGGGCACTTTGTTTGAAAAATAATCCATTTCATTTTAACTAAAACTTCCCATCACTTTGAAAATTGCGAACAATTAATCTCCTTCACTTTTTCCTTTAAAAAGAGCTTCCTTTACAACTAATTCCCCCATTATGCAACCCAAAGCCCAAATATCAATAGACACATCATATTTTGTTACACATAAAATTAATTCAGGAGCACGATAATATCGAGACACTATGTATGGTGTATTTTAACCATGAGAATTTATCATTTTTGAACTTCCAAAATCACACAATTTGACTACTTCTTTGTCATTTATAAGAATATTTTCTCTAACAAAAATTATCAATCATTTTTACGGTTTTAAATCTCTATGAGCTATTCCTTTTTTATGAATAAACTATAATCCTTTTAAAATCTGATAGATATATGACTTTATTGTCAACTCGGAGAAAAATTTACCTTATTTAACATATGTTTATATCCTATTTTCAAGATTATCCTCCATATATTCAAACACAATATTTTGAATTAATTTACCCGCATCAGTTCTGGAATAAAAGAAATCCTATTCATACTAACATATATTACAAGGATTTTAACGATGTGATCACATTCCTTAATTTCAAATAGTATTTCATATTCTCTACTTAAAAGATTTCCAACTTTCTCAATTCTTTTGAGAGCAACTTTCTGTTTAGTATTATGATCATATGCTTCAAAGACATATCCTGCCAATATTTACAATATTTACCAAATGTACCTGATCCAGCTACTTTAATAATTTCTATTGATGGAAATTTTTACAATGGCATACTCATTAATTAAATTATACAATTTTATTATATAACTTAAAAGCAAAATAATACTAAAAAAAAGTTATTAACATAAATATAAATTATTATCATATCTACTTTAAAATTGAATATCTATATCCTTAAATTAATATAATTGTAAATTTTAGTTTAGTAAATAAAAAAAAATTTCTAAAAAAATCATTTCTCACATGCATGAAAGTAATTCTTTGATTTATTTCATATTAAATATGTTTTGATCCTTTACACAGTTATTTAAAAGACTAATAATTAGGTTTAAATACTTCTTTAAATTTTTCTTCAACTAAAACTTATTAATAAGTTTCAGTTTGAAGAAAATAACTTATCAAAATCAAGTCTAATTTATAAACCTTTTAGAATTTAATCTTATATTGGAATCTTTATTTTATAATATTATTATCTTCATTAGAGCCATTATAATTCATAAATAAAACAAAACAGTTTTTGTAAATTTATTAGAAATAATATTTTATGAATTTTTGAAGAATAATATAAAATAACCTATAATTAAAAGATGAGTTTAGAGAATGCTATTGTTCAATGGCTTAATAAATATTAGTAATTGAATATTTAGTCATTTGAGAGCTTGGCTGATGGTAAAGATGCATTTTTTAATTAAAGGATGCGCATTTAGTTAATTGTTGAATTTAGTTGATCCTACATTCTTTTCTTTGGCGAGTGCTAAAAACTTAAAGATTGATAGTGATGTTTAGAAGGTTTAAGGTCATTTGTTTGATATGCTTTAAAAAATTTAATAATATCGAACGAATATTCAATGCAAGCCTCCTGATTATATTGAAATAGATGTTTTTGAGATCACTGTAAAATAAAATAAGCAACAAATTTTGGCATTATTTGAATTGATTATGAAAGTTATTCTTTCTTCTAATATAAGAGGAAAATTTATTGAGCCTATTTTGATGTTAGAGGAGAAAGTTTAGGAAACTTTAATGCATTTCCTTAAAAATCATCTCGATGAAGTATGATAAATTATATACAATATAGTCTGATAATTAAGCAAATGAATGGTAAGAGGAAAACTATATTCAAAGTCTGGTATAAAAGATGGATGAAATTGAATCTTAAAATACAGAATTAAAATAAATACTAAATGAATCTGAAGAGAAATAAAAGGCATTAAAAAGTGCCTTAGATGATGCCTTAGTCTAATTAGAAAATAAAGATATGGAAATCAGGGCACTCACAGAATCTAAATGTCATTTAGAAAAATGTAACCAATTTTATAAATAATTTAAGGTTTGGAGGAAAAGATGGACTTTTAACTTGAATATAAGGAAAGTGAGAAAATTCATTAAAAGTGTTTGGAACAGGAACATAAATTGGCACAATATGAATTAATAATTGAAGATTTAAAAAGAAAAGAAATCTAATATTTATAACTAAAGGATGAATATTAACAAAATAAATATAAATTACAAGAAAATGAAAAATTAGAATAAAAAATAGAAAGCGTAAAAAATTAGAAAATATTAATTAGCTACAAGAAAGAAGAGAATTAGACAAAGATGTATACTAAAAAGGAAAAGAAAGATATGAAAAAGAAATAGCTACATTATAATAAAATATTAAGGAGTTATTATTATAATAATCGGGGTTGAAAGAATCAAAATTAAATTTAGAATTACAATTACAATAAAAGTAAGCTAGATTTGAAAGAACTTAAGAATAGATAAAAACTATGGAAACTGAATATGGATAAAAAATTAGGGAGCTTTAAGATTTGCTTGAAACTTTGCACTAAGCTGAAGAGGATATGCCCAAAATAAATAGTAGCAATAATTAATAATTGTCTTAAGAAATGAAGTTATCTATGAATTAGAAAAACGAAAATTTTGAAAGAGAATACTACATTAAAGAAAATCATAAATTGGAAGAAAAAATAAAAGAATTACAAGCTAAAATCAATGAAATGCAAATGGAAGAAGAAAGTAAGAATTAAAAAAGCAAATTTGAATCATAACTTTAATAGTCTTAATAAATTTCATTGTTAACAGATAAAATTAAATAATTTTAAGAACACAACTAATAATTGAAAAAATAGAATGAAGAGTTAAAAAAATAGACTTAAAATAAAAAAGTTACACAAATTGATTATGAAATAAGTTTGCTTTCTTTGTTATCAGAAGCTTTTGCTAAAAAGGTGAAAGACTTTAAAGGTTAAGAAAAAGAATGATGAATTTTTATATAAAATCATAATTCATAAATTTAATTGTTAATATAAAATTATTAGGTAATAATAATTACTGAAAAACTTATAATGAATATTCAAAAATAATTATAATAAGATAAAGATGGGGTCAGCATGTAAAAATTGCAATCAAAATTCTCAAGGGGAACCAGAAATTTAACTGAAACCAGCTCAAAAGGTCCCATCTAAGCAAACTATTGTTAGTAACTCTGGTGAGTAAAGAAAATTTATTTAAGATTCCATTCCCTTGAATCCAGATGATTAAGAGTTAGTAAAAAATGCATCTGTCCTATCAAAATTCCATAAAATGTAAATGAAGAATATGGGATATTATGAAGGAGAATGGTTGAATGGAATGAGGCATGGATAAGGAATTTATGTATCAGAAAATTTAAACTATAGACTTGGAGTGATAATACAGTTTATACAGGTTAGTTTTAGAATGATTAATTGCATGGAAAAGGTTAAATAATCCATCCAAATGGAGATATTTATGAAGGGGAGTGGGCTAATGATTTAGCAAATGGTTTCGGAATTTTCAAACAGAATAATCTAAGTACTTATACAGGATAATGGAAAGATGACCTCTAACATGGGGATGGAATAGAAGAATGGCCCTAATAAATAAAATATGAAGTTTTTTAATTAAGTATTATTAGATATATAGGGTTAATATGTAAAAGGAAAAAAACATGGAAGAGGGAAGATTGTTTTTGAAGATGGCAGCAGATATGATGGAGAATTCAATAATAATTAGGCTTGTGGTAATGGAGAATTTTATTGGTAAGAAGGTAAATATTATAAAGGCTAATGGAAGGATAATCAAATGAATGGTATATTTTTATTTATTAATTAGTTAATAGGGAAAGGAGAAATGTTTTGGCCTGACGGAAAGCATTATGTAGGAGAATATGAAAATGATAAAAAGCATGGATAAGGATAATTCACATGGGAAAATGGAAAAGTGTATATTGGAGGATGGAATCAAGGAAAACAACATGGTAAAGGCTATATAATTGAGGATAGTATTAAAAGAGAGTGTATATTTGAAAATGGTAGATTGGTGAATAATATTTGATATTATTGCTATCACTCTTACAAATTTTCTATTTCTAAAATTGTTAAAGAAAATTAAGTGAATTTAGTTTTAATATATATCATCTAACTTTCTTTTTTAAATCTAAGTCTTTAAGATTTAATTCTAGTTAAATTTCTAGAAAAATTGTTTGAAGTCCTTTTTTCCTTTAAAAAATAAATAAATATGCCAATAACATTTAGTCTAACTAATTAACTTTATAAAATAAAATAATACATTATAAATTATTTTGAATAGTTTTTCTTTCTTTAACAAATAAAAAATTGCATTAAAATATAAATTAAACATAGGTTAGTCGCAAATAATTAGTATTTAGATTATTAATTAAACAAATTTAATCAAAAATAAAACATTACTTTTTGATTTTGTTTTTTTTAGAATTAATAACAATGATAAAATAATTAGTTTGATTATAATTTTTTAAGTTTTATTTGATAAAATATAAAATATTGACCCTTAAATTAATAATGTATTTTCATAACTCATAAACAACATTCTTGAAATTTCTTGGATTTAGAATAAAAGTAGTAATAGTGATATTATTGGATAAATATTTTTATTTCATTTCATTCTGATTATATAGATGCTTTTCTCTAGTTAAAATAGGCTATATTATAAAAAATCTTCCTCTAGATTCAAAAAAATGTAATGGTCAAACTCTAATTTTAACTTAAATACAATAATCCTCCTTTACCGTCGCTTCAATTTGAGACACATTAGTTAAGATGTCTATTTGGTAAATTTTGAAAAAATGTAGTTTTAATATCTAAACAAATCTTAATCCTTTTGTTAGAAGATAATCTTCTTTAAAACTTAATGGTTTTTTGATACTTTAATCCTTTATACAAAGTTTCATTTTCCTCTAATGAATTGGTCCATCGGTTGGTATAAATATTAAAGTTCGTTATTGGCATAAAATATTCACACCTAATGTATCTCATCATATCAAATCTAATAATATATAAGTTGATTTTTTTTTTCAAAAAAACTACACGAAATTTTAAAAGAATATATTAGAATAATCAAATAAATTTGATATTGTTTTATTTTTAATGCTTGATCTAAATATTTTAATAAAAATTTCTTTCCCTATAATTTCAATTCTTAATGCTAATTAATTTTCTTATATTCATCTAAATGATATGAAGCTAAAAAATATCAAGGATCATACATTTCAATATTGAATACATATGCATCTTGAACAATCAAATGTCCTATATGATAAAGCAAATCTATTCAATTTTTTGATATTCTTTTTAATTTAATAAGCTAAGGATTTAAATAAAAATTAGGAAAGATATCTGATACCAGTGAATTTAAAATCAAAATAGATATAATGATCTTTAGAACAATAAGTATTTTTTCTTTATGATTTTAAATAAGAAATTAAATTTATCTAAAATTTTGAACATTTAATTTAATTTTTTAAATAAAATTAATATTAACGAATACTAAATAATCCTTATAATTATATATATATATAAATTCAAATTATTCCTTCATATTATTATTTTTGTTATTCCTCATCTAAAATTTTTAAGCTTTTCTCTAAAATGCCATCCAACTAAATGATTAAAATGAAATACCTGAATTTTTTACCCTTATATCCTCAATTATAAATCCTAATAATAACCTTTAGTATTGAAATAAATTTCTTAACTGTTGCTAATATTTAGGATATTATTTGGTAAATTATTTGGTTTAATTTCTTTTGTGAATTAATCTTGTTTTAACTTATTTTCTGGTCTGGGTTTGTATGACATCTTGAATTGTAAAAAATTATTAATGAAATAATAATAATATTTGTTATTCATATACTCATTTTCCAATTGTGAACAAAATATTGATAATTAAAAGACCTATTATTGCATAAGCTAATTAAGTTAGCTTATCTAGTTTTTAATTCAAATCTTTTTAATCAGATGATTATTCCTATTTCTCTACAAAGATTTCTTTAACTTTATTTTCAATTAACAATTATTATTTTTATTATTGATTTTCATTGTTCTCAAGTAAGATTTAAGATTCTTATTATACTTGCTCAAGAATTACCTGTTTGGTCTCTTCTTTTTCCCTAATTTAGTTAATTTATTCAACTTAAGTTTCTATTTATTACGTAACTTCAATTTCAGCTTTTGGTGGCTATCTCTCATTTTAAACTCTTTTAGATAATATTTTATTTTGCCCTTCTTCGTATACTTATTTCAAACACTTTTCCCAAACCTCTGTGTTTTCTTTTTTACTACTACTTTCAATTTTACTTTTAAAAACAGTTGATTTTATAAAATGAATATAAAATCCATAATTTACTTGGCAACCATCTTCTATTTAATGAATATGCCAAAAAACTCTGCAACAAAAACTGTCAGCATAAGGTATTTTAGCAAATTTTACTTCTTTTTCTATCAAAATTTCATCTTGATTAAAATAATACAAAACATCCTCTGCAAAACAATGAACTACATCAGGAGCAAACATTTATTTTTCTTTAACTGGATGAATAAAGTTTATTGGTCTTTTTGAAATCTGTCCAATTTAAGGTTAAGGTTGATACCTTTAAAAGCTAATTTCTTTATCCTAACACAAAACAACTTAATAGTAGTGAGGAAATGATAGACAATTTTCATAAGGAGTATCAAATAAAAAGAAATCAATAAATTCTTTCACTGTCACCTTTAATTAAGTTTTAAATTTTTAAATGTTAGGTTAATTCATGAATCTATTTGATTTATTTTAAACCATTATTTCATTATATAAACTATTAGATTAATTAGTTGTTTACTCAACTTCAAATTAAGAAACATTTGGTATAGCAGGATTAGATTAATTCTAACAGTCTGTATTAATTTTTGGAGTTTACTATTATAAATTTTCAGTTGTTCCTTGTTAATTGATAGCATAATTTTATTTTTACTTAGAATTTGATTCAGGAGAAGATCTTACCTCCTGAACTTATTGAGTTTTTTCAGCAATTAATTATTATTATTATTATTATTATTATTATTATTATTATTATTATTATTATTATTATTATTATTATTATTATTATTATTACTATTGTTATTGTTATTATTATTGTTATTATTATTACTATTGTTATTATTAGAAATTAAGAATTTTGGGGCTTTAATCAATTTATTGTAATTTATCGTTTGATGATTCAATATTTTTTAAATTTATAGTTTCTGCTTAAATATTTTAAGGTTTAGGAGAAGGACTTCTAATTCCTTATTGTTTTTCTTAAGGTTTTACTAATTATTATGTTTCCACATAAACTTGTTAGATATTTCTTTCTGGATCACTTTCAATTCTTTCTTCAATTATTCCTGATTCTAAACCTTTGACTTATTTCAAGCTACCCAAAGTTTAATCTCGATTTGCTAAGCTTGCAAAAACTAAAGTTCCTTTTAATGTTTTAAACTCAAGTGCTGCATCTACCATATATGCTTTAATTCTTCTGATACTTTATATGTCAATTGATGGAATGCCTAAAGCAGTAGTTCCAAAAAGAGTCTTATTATATTAAATTAAATACTTTGCCATTAAAATATGAATGAAAACAAACTTTTGATGAAAAAATATACATTCTTCCTTACAATAGAATTTTATTATCAAATGCACATGCATAACTGGCAATACATTTATCCCCATCTAAAATTCTAAATTTTTCAATCAATTTTTAAGACACTTTAACTGAACCTTCTTCCAAATTTATATCATCACTTTCACTATCTTCTTATTGTTGGAGCAATGTAGCTGTTTCAATTTTAGATTTTATTTCATCTGTCATTTCAAAGAGTTTTTAAAATTTCATTTCTGGCTAATCAAGTTTAGTGTTAATCATTGTTCCATATTCAATTTATGCAATCTTTTCCTAAATTTAACTTAGATTTTCTTCTTATTATTTAGTGTAAGTTATTATTTCATCAATGAATGAACTATAATGACCTAATATTTATTCTAAAGTTTAAATTATTTGATTTGACCTTTGAAATTCATTTGTTCTTACCTATTCAACTGAGTATTTTATAGCTATACAATTATCTTATATTTATTTCTTTAATAATTAAAGTAAATTTTCTTTAATCTATGGTTTTTATTCGTTTTCTAAAATTTATTATTTGAGACCTTAAAAATCTTTTAACATCTTTTAATACATATTTAAAAAACTTTTTTCTTAATTTTTTTGTTCCTTTATTAATTAATCTAGACATTAAGCTTTAAGTTAAATAAATTGTGATTATTAATTATACTTTTTGGAATATTAATCATTTTACTTAACTAATAGTTCTTAGACCTAAAGTANGTTATTATTATTACTATTGTTATTATTAGAAATTAAGAATTTTGGGGCTTTAATCAATTTATTGTAATTTATCGTTTGATGATTCAATATTTTTTAAATTTATAGTTTCTGCTTAAATATTTTAAGGTTTAGGAGAAGGACTTCTAATTCCTTATTGTTTTTCTTAAGGTTTTACTAATTATTATGTTTCCACATAAACTTGTTAGATATTTCTTTCTGGATCACTTTCAATTCTTTCTTCAATTATTCCTGATTCTAAACCTTTGACTTATTTCAAGCTACCCAAAGTTTAATCTCGATTTGCTAAGCTTGCAAAAACTAAAGTTCCTTTTAATGTTTTAAACTCAAGTGCTGCATCTACCATATATGCTTTAATTCTTCTGATACTTTATATGTCAATTGATGGAATGCCTAAAGCAGTAGTTCCAAAAAGAGTCTTATTATATTAAATTAAATACTTTGCCATTAAAATATGAATGAAAACAAACTTTTGATGAAAAAATATACATTCTTCCTTACAATAGAATTTTATTATCAAATGCACATGCATAACTGGCAATACATTTATCCCCATCTAAAATTCTAAATTTTTCAATCAATTTTTAAGACACTTTAACTGAACCTTCTTCCAAATTTATATCATCACTTTCACTATCTTCTTATTGTTGGAGCAATGTAGCTGTTTCAATTTTAGATTTTATTTCATCTGTCATTTCAAAGAGTTTTTAAAATTTCATTTCTGGCTAATCAAGTTTAGTGTTAATCATTGTTCCATATTCAATTTATGCAATCTTTTCCTAAATTTAACTTAGATTTTCTTCTTATTATTTAGTGTAAGTTATTATTTCATCAATGAATGAACTATAATGACCTAATATTTATTCTAAAGTTTAAATTATTTGATTTGACCTTTGAAATTCATTTGTTCTTACCTATTCAACTGAGTATTTTATAGCTATACAATTATCTTATATTTATTTCTTTAATAATTAAAGTAAATTTTCTTTAATCTATGGTTTTTATTCGTTTTCTAAAATTTATTATTTGAGACCTTAAAAATCTTTTAACATCTTTTAATACATATTTAAAAAACTTTTTTCTTAATTTTTTTGTTCCTTTATTAATTAATCTAGACATTAAGCTTTAAGTTAAATAAATTGTGATTATTAATTATACTTTTTGGAATATTAATCATTTTACTTAACTAATAGTTCTTAGACCTAAAGTATTGGCTTTATAAAATTTGATTTATCTTTGTCTGATTTATCCTAGATGAATGATAATATTGATTACTTGAATGAATTATAATGTTGTTTTTATTGATTTTTATAAATTTTTTGAAACTGCATCCATTTGATTTGATATTTCTAATAGATAATTTGGAAGAGTCTTTTAATTTTTAACTCTATCATTTATAAAAGATAATTAAGCATCAATATGTTTATGTAAAACATCTGGAAATATCAAATATTCTTAATCTGTTATAGGTTTTTTTTCTATAACTTTATTCATAATGTTAATATATCTAAACTAATTATCTTATTCATATTTTGATGTTATTATTCGATCTTCCATCTCTTATTCATATTTTGGCATTGTTATTATTTTTTCTTGTTTTTCATCCATCTAACCTTTGATCCAACAATTTGCTGATAACTTGTGTTAATCAAGTTTCATTGTGATTTCTACAAACCTTTAATAAGTTAATTAATGAGCTTGAATCAATTACTATCGTGAATCATCAATAGCTTAATTGAATTCTTTAGTTTTTATAGTTAAACTATCAAAAGCATCTTTGTATTGTTATTCTGCAGGTTCAACTTGTTTAACTAATTCCTTTAATTTTTAATCATTCTTTTGGGATAGATTGAGATCATATCCAGTGAAAGCATCCTCTGAATTCTTCTTACTAGAACTTAAAGTCATTTCTATTTCTTTACAAAGTTTATCATATTTATCTTTGGTTTTTTTACAATTTTATCTATGTTATGCAAGTTATTATGATTGTTAAAAATTACCATCTGTTATTATTTTTGTGAAAATATTCATTTTCTCATTGTATTATTCAATACTTTGAGAAAAGAATTACTAAAATTCTGAAAATTATGAAAGAGTAGTTTTTGAGATCAATTCAAATAGCTGAATGAATTCCATCAAATTATGTCCTTTAAATAAATATACTAAAATACCTAAACTAATTGGATCATTTACTGATAATGAAATCTATTAAGAGTATTATTTATTAAATGGACCATATTTCTTAAAATGTGTCTCAAATTCATTTTATGAATCAGATGTATACTTTGAGTATTGCTTCATTATTTTTTTAAGATCCTCCAATTTATCATTTAAATTGGAAGTTGCTGCCTATTCAGATGCGTTGAGCATTAATAATAATTTTTTATTTAATGAAAACACTTGTAATTTCATATGAGTTATATAATATTCAACCAATCTACAAGTTATTATAAATTAGGTTTTCGTGATAAATAATCTTAAACTGATTCTGTAAATTCGTCACTCACCATACTCTCTATTCTTTCACCAAACGAAATTTCTTCAGTACTTTTTTTTCTCATTGATACTTTTTCATTGAATGGTTATATTATTTTATCAAAATATTTATAAAATTAATATTGAATTTCGAAACTTCTTAAATTTATTTCAAATCTTATTACTTTCTTTTTTGTATTAGATAATAAATTTTTATAATCTATTCTGCATCTATGGCTGAATAAAATTTAAATCGAACCTTTTTCTGAATCAACTTTCCATAAAGTTCCCCAAATCTTATTACTTAAAAGTAATTATTTATTCTAACTCATCTACTTTAAATATTGTTAGAATTTAAAAATTAATGTTTCAATTATAATTGTAGTATTTCTCCTTTGTTTATTTCTGTTTTTTATTTATAATCAATTTTCAAGCCAGATAATACTAATCTATTCTTTTGTAATTCTCTATAGAATTCATTAAATATATCCTACATTTCTAGATTAATGCCAATCTATTTCTAATTTTAAAATGAATATTGAACATTTGCTTATTAATAGGTAAATATTATTTAATATTATTTTTTATCATAATAGATATGATTTACTTTATATCCAAGACATTATATCAAAGTAGCCCTAATTTCTTATGAAGATCCCTTTTATTATTAATATTCAACTTAATTTTCCTTATCTTGCATTTAATTCAGTATACTATTATTATTCATCTTTGAATCAAGTTGTCTTTATTCAATTTAATTTAATTAGATTAACCTTTATTGTAACTTACTTATTTTTTAAGACAATATATCTTAGATAAGTAAAATTTCTTATTCTTCTCTTGTGATCACTCTTTTCAATGTAGCATCATTCATTTCACCCAATGAATTTAACTATTTCAGATCCTTCACAATATCTATTACAATTGGTTTCAAATTTTTCCTATAGGATTATTTTGCACTGTTTTCTTGTATTTGAATTGCCTTATGTGTTTGAAAAGGTTATTATTATGGTGTTTAATGAGTTAAGTTTATATAGTTGGTTATTTTTGTATGGACTGTTGTAATTAAATTTACTAAGCAACAGGAATCTTTTTTTATTGTGGTTCTTGCTTTTTTGAACTTTGTTGTTCTTCAAAAATTGTACTTAATTTTTGAGGAGTTGATTCAGCAATTCTACCTATTAATGGAATAAATGAAACTTTTCTAGTTCGATGACTTTCCAAATCAGTTTAAGAAGATGGCATTGTTTGTGGAACTTAAGGGACTACCTACATTGGCTGAGTGATTCGTTAAGATAGCATTCTTTAATCTTAGTTATGTTCTTCAACTGTATTTATTTTTAAAGAAGATTGATTTTATGCATCTAAAGACACTTGTAGACTTTGAAAAACCAAGAAACTCTCTTTTCTTATTTACATATTAATTTTACTTCTGTTCATATTTATTCATCTTCAAATTTAAATTAATACACCAATAATATAATTATATATATATACNAATGGTTATATTATTTTATCAAAATATTTATAAAATTAATATTGAATTTCGAAACTTCTTAAATTTATTTCAAATCTTATTACTTTCTTTTTTGTATTAGATAATAAATTTTTATAATCTATTCTGCATCTATGGCTGAATAAAATTTAAATCGAACCTTTTTCTGAATCAACTTTCCATAAAGTTCCCCAAATCTTATTACTTAAAAGTAATTATTTATTCTAACTCATCTACTTTAAATATTGTTAGAATTTAAAAATTAATGTTTCAATTATAATTGTAGTATTTCTCCTTTGTTTATTTCTGTTTTTTATTTATAATCAATTTTCAAGCCAGATAATACTAATCTATTCTTTTGTAATTCTCTATAGAATTCATTAAATATATCCTACATTTCTAGATTAATGCCAATCTATTTCTAATTTTAAAATGAATATTGAACATTTGCTTATTAATAGGTAAATATTATTTAATATTATTTTTTATCATAATAGATATGATTTACTTTATATCCAAGACATTATATCAAAGTAGCCCTAATTTCTTATGAAGATCCCTTTTATTATTAATATTCAACTTAATTTTCCTTATCTTGCATTTAATTCAGTATACTATTATTATTCATCTTTGAATCAAGTTGTCTTTATTCAATTTAATTTAATTAGATTAACCTTTATTGTAACTTACTTATTTTTTAAGACAATATATCTTAGATAAGTAAAATTTCTTATTCTTCTCTTGTGATCACTCTTTTCAATGTAGCATCATTCATTTCACCCAATGAATTTAACTATTTCAGATCCTTCACAATATCTATTACAATTGGTTTCAAATTTTTCCTATAGGATTATTTTGCACTGTTTTCTTGTATTTGAATTGCCTTATGTGTTTGAAAAGGTTATTATTATGGTGTTTAATGAGTTAAGTTTATATAGTTGGTTATTTTTGTATGGACTGTTGTAATTAAATTTACTAAGCAACAGGAATCTTTTTTTATTGTGGTTCTTGCTTTTTTGAACTTTGTTGTTCTTCAAAAATTGTACTTAATTTTTGAGGAGTTGATTCAGCAATTCTACCTATTAATGGAATAAATGAAACTTTTCTAGTTCGATGACTTTCCAAATCAGTTTAAGAAGATGGCATTGTTTGTGGAACTTAAGGGACTACCTACATTGGCTGAGTGATTCGTTAAGATAGCATTCTTTAATCTTAGTTATGTTCTTCAACTGTATTTATTTTTAAAGAAGATTGATTTTATGCATCTAAAGACACTTGTAGACTTTGAAAAACCAAGAAACTCTCTTTTCTTATTTACATATTAATTTTACTTCTGTTCATATTTATTCATCTTCAAATTTAAATTAATACACCAATAATATAATTATATATATATACATACATTTAAAAATAATTATAATTTTTTCTCTTACCATATAGTATTATTTTTTACCAATAAATATAAGACATAAAATCCTTCAGAATAGTACAATTAAATTTTGTATCATAAGTTTAATACAATAATAATTGTAACTAAAGAAAATTGAAAAGCTTAAATGAGTTTATTAATTATAGAAGGTTAAGTTATGATTAACGACTATAGAGAATTTATGTTAAATAATTGAGATGATTTGAAGATTTTGTCATAAATAAAAATTTATATATCATTTATATATTCTGAGTACTACCCAAGTAATTAATAATTAAATAAAAACATTTTTTATAAACTTGCATAAATCTAATTAAACCAAACTCTCTTTATTATGATTAAATCTTAATTTTTATAATAGCTATTAAATTTTATTAAAATTTTTTACAGCATTTCATATTTCCTCAATTTTTAGACTAATTTATTTCAATCACATATTGCTTTACGTGTCTAAAGTATTATTTATGAAATAAATTAAGTATATTAAGAGAATATAAATATTGTAATTTATTTATTGATAGCTTTACATAAAATATCTATAAGCATTTTTGTTATATGTTATACTCAAACACTGGGACCAAAGCTCTTATCCTTAAAGAAATTAGTTAGCATATATATTTATATTAAACACACGCTCATTAATACTACTATTTTACATAAAGCACACCATTTTACTTAATTTTCAGTACTTTCCATCACTAATATATATTTAATGAATTATATACATTTCTCATGATAATTCTCTCTATCAATTTAAAAGTGTTGATTTCTATAAACTTTATGCATCTTAGATAATACTTATTTTAATGATCCTTCAGTCTCATCCAATTAATCTATATTAAAATATTTATAATACTTTTATCAGCAAAGTTCTTATCTACTCCACTAATATCTATATCAAAGCTAAATATTTTATAGTAACTATCATTAGATTAAAAGCATAAATAAATTTCTTTTTTTCCTTTAACAATATGTTTTAATTATCCTTCTCTTTTCCCTTCTTAAGATTCTAAGGTTTTGTTATATTCAATATTGTTTTCTAATATTGTTTCAAATAACTAATACATATTTATAAATACTTCCACAAAAACATTTTCTTCATTTATTCCTGTTACAACATAAGGCACTTTCACTATTTATCCATCAAATCCATCAAAAAAGAAACATTTGACTGACCCACCTTCAACTCCTATTGAAACAGAATTGATGAGCTACAATAGACATCCAATTATAAATAAATTCTTCATTAATTTATGGTTAGATTTCCAATTTAAGTAAATAATGCTCTATAAATTACAAAATTTTTACACATCATATATAGATAAATTTATAGAAATTTATAGGATATCAATTTAATTTTTAAGTTAAAACTAATAGGTTAATCATAATTCTGTCTTTTATTTAATGTTTATAATAGAATAAATTAAAAAAATGAAGTGCAAACTAATTTGACCTATATATTTGCTTTATTTATGATATTTTAAGTTTTTGATATCAAAATTAGAAATATATTTGATATAAATATCTATAAGAAACTCATAAGTTATATAAGAATTTTTCTTAAAATAGTGAAATATATATATAATTTTAAGAATATATATATTAAAGATTTATGTAGAATTTTAAGTTTAGGTAAATATAGATGACCTTAAGGAGTTTTTTTTATAATTTTTATTGTATTTAATAATTGATTTAAATGATTTAGAATATTAGAATAAATATATTTGTCTTAATTTTGATAATTTCTGCAATAAAAAAATTGATTTAAAATATGAAATGGAATTTTTTAGGGGAATTCATAAGTTTGATCATTTAAACTAACCTATCACCATCTTTAAATAATTCTTATTTCACAACTTTTTAGATAACAGTCTACTATTTGTAGTTAACATATTTCTTAATAAGCGAAAATCATGAATACATTTATCGTTTAATTAATACTTTATCAAGAATTAGTTTGATAACTCCTATATTTATAGAGACATATGAAATAAACATATTGATTGGAGTAATTATCATTTTAATAAATGTTATTCCATACATTATTGTAATTTATAGAAGAATTAAGAATGTGAATAAGAAAGTAGGTAATATATCTAAAAGCATATTACAAGTATTAATATTATAATAATTTTAGATCTCAACAATGATAATAAACTTTTATTTTTTATATTTCACTTGGTTTCTGTATTTGCCTCAATTATATTATATTGGATGGAATTTTATCTAAACAGATAAGAGTCTTGTAATTATTGCTACAATTGTTTTACTTATTACAATATTGAGTCTGACTATTTCGAATGTTTATTTTGTTAATTTTGAATTCAATGAACAACATTTAAGGAAACATTTTTCATATAATAATATAATTGCATAGACATTAGTAATTCCTATGGCTATTTTATATTTGAAAAATGATGAAATAACATAGATAGTAAGTAGGGCTTTACATGGATTAATATTATTAATGTAAATTTATGAAGCATATTTTTAATTACCTTTTGGGTAAGTTATTAATCTTATAATTTTAGATTTTCTTAATAAGGTTATATATTTAATAGAGCTTTGATGACTCATTCTGTAGTATTTTTATTTTCTTCAATCAAGGCTTAGAGTTAAGCCAGTCCTTACAGCTTGGCAACTATCATGTTAATTATGCAGCCAGTTGTATAATATTTGTTTTAAATTCTTTTTGATAGTAAAAGAGCTAATGCTTACATTTCTATAAATAAGACAAATAATCAATATTATGAGTTGTTATATATTGAAGATTTCTTTGAATTGAGTTAATTGGCATAGAAAAATAAAACAAAAGAGATTGAATTAATTTAGAAATTCAGTCTTCATATGAATAGATGTAATTCATCTAAATGTTAATGCAAAAGAATAGGATCATCTAAAATATTATTATTTGATTAAACTGTTCTTTTAATATCTTGTTTATTTAAAGGCAGTTTTGAGAAGCACAAATAAAATTTGTAAGATTTAAGAGTTTTTGAAATATTTAGTCTTAAATTCTTAACATTTATTAATAAATACAAACATAATGCACCTAAAACTTATCAAGAATTAAAAATATTTTTTTAAAAAAAACGAGATTATTCTTTTTATTTCATATAAATGTGTTTATTATTACAATTTATACTTTAAGCTTAAATGTAAAAAGATGAAGATTACAATATTAATAAAGAGAGTAGAGTTTCAAATGTTAAGTTATAAGTGAGTAAAAGTGAAAGAAGTATAGTTTAAAATCTATATTAAATGGAATAAGTTAAATAATATATGATACCATTATTAACAGAAATTAGTTAATTTAAATCTTAATTTTGGAAATCATTTAAAGAGGGTAAATTTACAGATTATATTTAAATTGAAGAGTAAATTAAAAAACTATAAAAATTAAGAAATGATGTTATGTATTAATTTAACATTTATTATTAAATATTTTATCATAATGGTAGAACATTTAATGTCTAATTTTTAAAAGTTAATGCTTTAATTAATTTATTATTATTTAATAATGTAAGAAAGTATTTTGAAATGGAGAAAGGTAAATAATAATATTAATATAAATTTAGAAAGGAGAGAGATTTTATAATTTGAGAAAAGTATGAATTCATTTGAAATTACTAATATTAACTTTTTTAAAGGAGAAGCAATATCAGTAAAAGTATGTATAGCCTTTGGTCCTAATATAGGAAAAGTGTTAAATAAGGTAATATCTCCTTTAATTCCAAAATTTTTTGGATTTGGAAAATTTCCTAATCCAATGAATTCATTTATAGATTTCACAAAAGGCAATATAAATACTTTAATGCCAAATTGGTTAGAACCTATTCATGATGAAATAATGTAAAATTATATACGTAGAGGTGTTACAGCAAGAATAGGCAAGTATTTTTAAACATTTGCAAAATTATATGATAAAACATTGATAAGATGTTAAGTTTATTTGGCTCATAATTTTAGTTAAGAATTAGAAGATGATTTTACAATGATTGGATGTTTAAAATCATTAGAAGAAGAATAACCAAAGTTTTTAGGTGATGAAGGCAAGAAATTAAAAAATATAGCATTTAAAGGAGCTTAACACATTTTATTTGATGTAAATGGAAATATAATGGGTATTACTAAAGGATTATATAAAATGATTGAAAGATTGTAGAGATTAGTAACAAATAATAAAGGTGGAACTTATCATGAAAATGATGATATTTTATAATAAAGTGGATAGAAATCAAAATCAGAAAATTCATCAATTGAATCTGAAAGGTATTTAGATTATATATAATCAGTTATGATGTTTTTGATTAAAAATGGTCGAATACAATATTATAGATTGATGACTTTTATAATAAAGTATTAATATGGATGATGTTACCATTTATTTCAAGAGAAATAGAATCTACAGGTATAGAATTTTTAATGAATGGATAAATTCCTCCAAAAAATAGATATGTTAATTTAATTGATTTAGAAAATGGAAATTAAGTTGTTTAAAATAAAGAAACTTATTTATTTGTTCCTGAAGATTTAAATTTGTTTGTTTAATAATATGATAAAGTGATTACAAAGATTGTAGATGATTAAAGAGTATAATCAAATAATTTTTCATCTGGAAGTGCATATAGAGGAGGATTAAGAAGTGATTATTAAGATAGTGATCAATAAAGTATTATATAAGCAATAACAATTTTTGATGAAAAATTATGTGTATTCTTTTATGATGAACATTTAAAAAGACATCAAGCATTATTATTTGGATAGACTAGATAATCAGAAATGTAAAAGAGTTAAGGGAGACCTTCATCAAAATCATCTATACCTGATAAATAAACAATTAGTAGTGAGGAAGATAGTGAATAATTAAAAACAAGGGCTGAAAAAATATACTAAGATAGATATTCAAAATATATTGAGAAATTTACACCATAAGATTTCAATCCTATTCCTGTTGTTTATTCTGTATTTTATGAGGAATATTGTTATAAGAAAAATGATACTGATTATAAGTAATAAATGTTTGTAATAGAATTAATTGTAAATGATTAATAATTACTAAACACAGAAAAAGGATATAAAAGATAATTAAGAGAGACTATTAAATAAACATATCAAAATTATTAATCTAAAAAGATATTATTAGAATAAAGAACAGAGGGTGAAGATTCAATGAGTATATAAGGTAATATCAGTGAATAAAAAAGTATACATGAAGGAGATATAATCAATTATAATTTCCCATCTCATCCATCACATTATTATGAAGACATTTATTTTGTAGAAAATAATTAGATTTTACAAACTGATTAAATATGTAGTCCAAGATAAGATGGTAAATCAGAAGGTTTGTTATTAAGTGATAGATCAAGATGGAGTAAACCTTTATTAGAAAAAGATAAAAAAACTTAAGGAAGCTAAAAAAAGAAGAGCTAAATTTCTGTTATTTCAGAACATAGTAGAGAAGAAATTTAATTTAAAGGATCATATTCAAATTTAAAGTTTCCTGAGAAAGAGATTGCTTTCAAAGCCCTAAATAGAATAAATTAGAAAAAGAAGCAGCAAGATTTTTATAATGATAATGAATCTAAAATACCTTTAGAGAGCAAAGGATCCTAATAATAAAACTTTGAAGAATTTTAAGTTAAATATTCTGACAGTTTAAAACTTTTTGATTCTCAATATAAGATAGTTTAATAAAAAACTTCTGATATGAGAAATCCTAATTCATATAAAATTTAAAAATATTTGTTGATTACAACATTTATTTTAATAATAAGTTATATCATTCTTATTTCTGTTGCTGTATAAACACAATATGATCTAAGTGGATGTTATAATTTGATTGAATTAATGATATCTACCTAAAAGTCCTATACTCAAATTACTCATAGTTTGTATCGTTTGGAATTATCAGATTTATTACAATTAAACAATATAGATATTTTAAAATAATTTTATGAAAAATAAATCTTTTCTGAATTATAAGAATTGATAGATATATAAAGTAATTAAATTATTGAAATCAATAAGGTGGAAGTAGGCTTAGATTATTTCTATGATATAGAAGACAAAGTGTAAATTAAACCAACACTTTAATAAACTATTTAATTTACTCTTGGTTAATTCTATAAATTAAAATAGAATGAGACAATCAATATTTACAAATATAATTCCTCTTTAACATTAGCATCAGTTGCCAATCTTTAGGGTATTGGATAATTACCTCAAAAGGCATATGATTTTTGTTTTAATGAAAGAGTCAAAAATGAAAACACTTATTAAACTCTTTTAATTATTTATATGGTTGTCATATTCTTTTTGGTTATGATTTTATAATTTTCTCATATTCCATTAATTGGAAAATTAAGAAAAAGTCATAGAACATTTTACAAAGAAATTATTAAATTATAAACAAATGAAGTTAATGATGAAATTGAAATATATGAAACTGTAGTAAATATATTTAAAAAATCAATTTATGAATGGATGCTAATTGATTTTGTTTAAGAATCTTAAATGTTTGAGATAACTAGAGAACATAAAACAAATGCTCTTACTCCTGGAAAGGAAATGCATACAGACATAAGTTCAGGATAAGTTTCATCATCTAATAAAAAGAATAGATATAAATTAATGGAAAAATTAAAGAAATCTTAAATGAGATAGGTTAAGTATTTTGTAATATTAATGGTTGGATTGTTTGTTATTTTAGCATATTTTCTAATAATATTCTTAGTTATTTTTATTTTATCTAAGGATCTATTATCTAATGTAGAAATTCTATTTAAATTTAAATTAGTTTAATCATCTGTAATTAATTTAATAAATAATATGGATTTAGTAGCATTTTCAAGTGTAAATGATTCAATATTCGATGATATTATGTCAGTGTAAACTTATTAAACTTATGCATCAGTGCTAAGTGGTGATACAACTGATTTTTTGGAATAATATTCAAATGAGTTTCTTTCTGCACTAATCGATGATAATTTTAAATACAATCTCGATATTATGAATTAAAACAATATTTGTGAGATAGGAATTGGAATTGATTGTGAATCAACTGATGCTATAACCTTGAATCCTTGGCTTCTACCACATTATTAATAAGGATTGAAATCTTTATTGACTTAAGTTGATAAGATAATTTCTCAATATCCACAATTTTTTTATGAAGAAAATATGAAAAATACATATGATGCACTTTTAGAATTTTATTAAAGCTAGGAACATTTAATTTACATAGATTATGGAAGTGAATTAATAATTAAGGCTCAGAAGTAAATTATTGATACTGCCTATAAATAGTTTGATCAATCTTTAAATTTTTACAAACAAACTTTATTAATTTTTACTTTGAGTGTAGGCATGGCTGGATTTTGTATTATAGGTTTTTTGGGAAATCTAATATTAAAGATGTAAAAAGATTCAATAGAAACATGTTAGGCAGCCTTACTATTGTTATCACCTAAACGATACTTAAATAAATCAATGGGTTTATTAACATAAAAAAAGTTATGATTTTTTGTTTATAATTAATATGAATTAAGTTAAAAAAGATGATTATGAGTAGTCTCGAATTGGAGTGGCATTTGGAGATGAATTTGAATAAGGTCCAGTTTCTTTTAGGTAATAGTTTGAGTATCAAATTGAGAGCTGAAGCACACTTTAATGAAAAAAAGGCAATGGATTAATATGATACACTTAAGAATTTACTTGGAGATCATATTGATATTGATTGGGCTTTAGTTTGTTTTCTCAGGTATTAACCTGGTAAAAAGGAGGCTTTGATTGAATCAATTACAAAAATAAAGAATAGACGTACAAAGTTATATTAAATTATTAGCTCGTTTTGAAGCTTTCGAATGTAAAATCCATTCAGATGAAACATATGTTTATTTCTCTGTGAAACTTAGAGAAGATGAAGAAAGTTAATTAAAAGGTAGTCTAGAGGTGATTTTAGAAAATGGTAATTTATTTTAGTAACTTAAGGATTAAGAGAAATGATTAAGACTTAAGATAACTTTCTAACCTTTGAATTTGATGCAAACTATGACTTTCAATAATTAGTAGAAGCTGTATCTAAAGGAGAGAGAGTTGGAGCAGCTTGTTTGAGACAAATTAGGTAAATTATATTTATAAACTAAGGGCTGAATTGAACTTGTTTTTGACAAAAAACTTCTATTAAGGAATTGAAAAATTTGTAGATGGAATAGATAAAGAAGCATTAGAATCTCCTCCTTTGGCATTTCTAAAACATTTTAAGAATTTAGATATGGATTTAAGATTTAGATCAACTGATGAATTGCCATAAGTTATCAAGAATTAGATGATCTTTGGAGAGGAATTTTAGACATTAGCAGAAGAAGAATTATAATTACCTATAAATCGTACGAAATAAGTCAATGCTATTATGGAAGTAGTTAACAATCATTTATTTAGGCAGCTGCAGATAATGGATTCATTTATTTCACTATTTAAGATTTATGTGCTGTTAAAATAGAATCACACACGCCAAAATTATCATCTTTTTTAACAAAATATGGAAAGTATTTGGCAAAATTAGTAGGATTAGGAGAATTTGTTCCAGAAGTATGATAATAAAGATAATTATTAACAATAATTTTATAATTGTTCTCAATAATAATAACAATGGGTTATGTTATAAATTTAGTCATCAGGCCTATCAATTTCTGATTTTATGCCTGAATTTCTTCTAGTTCTTCCAGATTCATATTTAAATATAGGTCCAGAGATGTCTTCATCACATTATAAACATTTATTTAATTTTCCATTTTTCACAAAATTTTCATTTGTAATAAAAGACACACTATTTTGATTAAGTATGTATTTATTACATACAAGGCCAAAAACATGATTTTTTTGTATTTAAAGTATTATACAACCAAACTTAAGCACATGTATCAGTGAATCCTAATCCCTTTATACATTTTAAAAGATGATATTAAGACAATCCATACATTAAACCACACTTTCTCACTGGCCTAGTCAAATCAGTTTTAAGATAAACAGCCAAATCTTATAAAGTAGAGCATGCACCACATTTTCCTTGATGAGTCACAATGAATTAATTCTCTTCTGCCTCTTCTTTTGAATTAAAGTGTTTTAAATGGTATCTAAAAATTATGATATGATTACATTTGTTTTTCATAGTCATCATATTTAATAGCACAAACACTTTTTGTATCTTTAAGGTTATCTGAAACTTTTAATAAATAGTTAGAATCAACAATTTCATAAGGATTTTTAGTGTATGGAAATATAGGATCTCTAATTTATTTAGATTTAAAGGCTTTTATAGCTTCATCAATATCACAACTAAACACTGTAACTATTAGAAGGAAATACAATTTTTACATTAATTATATATTAATAATATTATCAATTAAAATTACTAATTTTTTATCATTCTTATTTATCTCCTTATTTAATTAAATTATCCAAGAAATCATCACAATCTTCATCACTATCTCCTGTTTTTGTTTGTATCTTTTATTCAAATTTAGCAACTAATTATTCATCATCATCTTCACTTTCATCAGATACATTATCTTTTTATATAATTTATTATTTATTAATGATTTCTTTTTATTCTTATTATACTTATTATTTTGGTGATGATTACTATTCTAATTATGTATTTTTAACTTATTCTGCAAATAATTATTATGGTTAAATCTCATTTTATATACTCTTATTATTTGATTATTATTATTTTTATTATGGTATCTTTTCATCTGAATCATCATAATCTTTTTTTTCTATTTCATTTCCTAAACTAAATACTTCTTCTTTTGTTTTTTATTATTATTAATGTACTTCTAATCCATCTATAATATGCTTCTCTTTTACTACTAATCCTTTACATTCTTATACAATTTATAATAATAATTAATTTGAAGACTTAGTTTCATTACTAAAAGTTTATGGTCTATCAGCAGTTTAGAATGATTTTTAATTTCCTCTTTCAAAAATAAAATCAACAAAAAAATCTTTTTCAGTTTTTATTTATGGACTTTTATCTAATTCTCTATCCCATACTCTAAGAACATTATCAAATAAAAATGAACAATTAAACATAACTCTAAATAAAGCTACTCTTGTTTTATTATTTTCAAAGTGTTTGCATCTAACTAAAATATCATCTGAAAGCTAACAAAAATTAATATGTTATTACTTCAATTCCTTTTAGATCAAATATACAACTTAAATCACCTTATTAATAATTTTTTAGTTCTCCATCAGTCAATGAATTGAATATAGGTTTATCATTCTTGAATAATTGAATATATGGTCTAAACATAGTACAATTTTGGACTTTAGGTATACCAGATATTACAATAGATATTAATCTTAAACAAGAACTATTTAATTTAAGACCATTTAACACATTTCCAACATAAGTAATATATTAATGCTAAGATGGAAATAAAGCTTAAAAATCTTTTGTGTTTGTTTTTTCACATACTCTTAATAAACATTCTCCTGGCTAAGATTTTATAATTTATTAAATTTACATAACCAGCACCCATAATAGCTAACAATGATGATATTACCATGATACTTCTACCCCTTGTTTCTTGGCAACACACAATTGCTATATTGTTTCTATCACTACTAAGAAAATAGATTATGTTTTTGCAAATCATCAATAGCTCGATCAATGGTGGACATGGATATCCTGGATGTGAATGATTGGCAACCTACTTACTTTTTCACTCTACTTAATTGCAAAACCATTCTGTTGTAAACTCTCTTTCTCCAACATTCCAAATATAGTAATGATTCTGATGATTAGTGTTTAAATAACTCGATAATTTCTCTATTTTATCATTAGATGGATATTCCATCCAATATAATCTATTGCTTATTGCTACTATGTCTCCTTAAATTGCTTATTTGTTTAATTTATCTATAGTATTTTAAGCAATTTATTTGGTATTAGAGGCCAGGTTTTTGTAAGAGTTTGCTATCCCTTTAAATTTTGGAGCCAAAGAATTATACAATTTATCCATATTAATATATAAATTCACTTTTTTTTTGTAAAATCAAGAATCGTATAGCCATATTTTTTCATATGCTTTATATATTTGCGTATACTCATTCCAACGATAATAAAGAAATAGCCAAATAAAAATGGCCAATATACAGGTATATTCCATAATGGTATGTATGTACACAAATAAGCCATGATTACTGAAAATACACTCTTTTACCAAGCTTTAAATTCTGATGTTGTTCTCAACAATGGTCTAAATTCTTTATCATTTAATTCATTCTTATTACTTATCGTCGTTGGTAATTCCACAACTTTTCATATCAATTTTAAAGCTTTACAATCATTTTGGAATTAATCATCTTCATTTTCATCATCTTCAAAATTAACTGGTGGTAAACCAAGAGGAGTGAAATATTCAATTATTAATTACAATTGATAAACACAGTATATATATGTAACAATGTAAAATCCACCAATATTATAAATCCTATTAGCATACAATAAAATCAATAATAGATTGAAAAACCATCTAGACTTCTTATACAAAATGTATCTAATCTATTTAGTATCATCTACCTGTCTATTTTTCTTTGATATTTCACTTTTATTCTATTAATGACTTTAAATATCAAATTTTCTTCAATTTATTCCTCAATAATCATTGATATTAATTGCAAAATTTAAAAAATTTAATATATATTTAATTCATTTATTCTATAATCTAGGAAGTTTTATGTAAGCAGATTTATTGTCAATTTTTTATTCTAATTTTGAGATATTATAGATTTATCTTTTTGTAGATTCAGTCTTTAATTGAGACTATGATGATCTTTAATCTAATGATGAAATCCTATAAATAATAATTTTATATATATATACTTTTTAACACTTCCATTATTTTATCTAGATAAATCATAACTTTTTAAATAATATTTATCTTCATCATCTTCATCTTCCTCTATTAAATCTTCAGGTTTAAATTCTTCATGTAATAAAAGTCTTGGATCCAATTTATCTAATTTTTCCCAATTAACTATTTAATGAGAATTTGCATCTAAACCAATTTTCTTTAATTTTCTTTCCCTATAATTACTTGTTTTTATATAAGATGGTTCAAAAATTATTGATTTAGATCTTGATTAATCAACTTATGATATCATTTTATCTCTCAATTCTTATTTTTTTACATTTTTCCATTCTTCTACCAAAATTCTTTTAGATTTAAGTTCATCTGTTGAATAATTAACAAATTTTTGCAATTATAAACCTTCTGGTTTTCTAAATCCTTATACATCTTTTGATTCAAATGGGGTATTCAAAGATTTCAATTTTTTTTTATATTAAGTTGAATCTACTTCCATGTATCGAAACAATTTAATTTCTGCTTTTGTCTAATCTTCTTAGTACATTAGTTTAGAGAGTTCTTTTAATAAAAGGACAAAATTCATAAAGGTAATTTCATTCTAATTTTGATTAACTCTCCTAAATAGTAGATTCTAATATATAAAAGTAAATTATATACAAGTTCTTTAAAAGTCAATATTCTCATATTTTCTTATGGATGATTCCTTGTAGAGATTGGAATCATTTTATTAGATTTATTTCCAATTGTATCATTTAAAATTCTATTTGTTTCTGTATATTTTGATTAAGTCTTAATATGATGGATTTTCTCATCTATTAATCCAAATTGTCGACAAAAGATCATAAATTTACCTTCTGTTAATGTTTAAGATTCATGATTGATTCTTGTGAAATCATCAGATGGACCTCTTACATAGAATATTTTAGAATAGAATTTATAAACATCTTTTAAATGAGGTTCTATTTTAGACTTAGAAAAGAAAGACTCTTCTGTTTATTCAAGTTCTTTTATTAAACTAATCCCACCAAAATTACTGACATCATTCGTTATTGGTTCTATAATATTAAATTTCAATTTTTCTAATTAACCCTCAAGAGTAGACATTATACGTTTAAGTATACCTTTATCTTTTTATTAAACACATTAAGCTTCTATTTTCTTATACCTTTCTAATTATTACTCTAAATATTCCTAAATATTTTAGTTCTAGTTTTCAATTAATACTGGGTTTTATGGTTATTATTATTATTATTCATTTTCTTCTTGATTTACATTCACTACTAAATTATTTATTATTTATTAATCATTTTTCAATGAATTATCATCTTTCTATGAATTATCATCTTTCTATTACTAACTTTTCACTTCTAATTCTAAATCTTTTTGTATAACTTCATTGTCTTCATTATCTTATTAAGACTCTTAATTTTATTAAGACTCTTAAATTTATTAATTTTGTGAAATTTCTCTTTCCCCTTCAGTCTCTACTGGATTTTCGTTTTAATTTTCCATGAATAGATTCTAAATGAAATTTTATATTTTTATTTTAATGAATAAATAATATATTGGTCCTAAAGGTTTTTTTATGTAAAACACTTATGAATTTAGAAAAATTGAGAACTATAATTTGTCTTATTTAACTACTTTTTTATAAATAATTTGATAAAATTCAACGAATCTTTTATCCTTTCTCTTCAATTTAGTTTTCTATTTAATTAGATTTAATTCCTTCTTTTTCTTAGATCATATCAAATTCATTTTATTCAATTTATATATCACCTCCATTAGCATTTATATATCCATATTTTTAGATTGAAAATTCAGAATTTGGAGAACTAGCTGAAACAGAATCCTTAACTTCATCAATCATGTAATTTTCATTTAAATTTTGAGATTATTAAGGAAGTTTAGAATATTGAGATCTAGCTTTTACAAATTTAATATCTTCTCTTTCAATAGATTTTAATGAATATTTCTAATTTAAACTAAAAATATTACTTTATGAGATAAATCAACCATTTAATATAAAATGGTATTGTATTAAATAAAGTTTAGCAATTATTGATTCATCTTTTTATTATAATTTTCTCCTTACTAGATTTTAGTATAAACATCTAAAAGTTCTTATCCATTTTGTGCCTTAATCTAAGCTTTAAAGAAACGAGAAACTTTAGACAATTGCATCTCAATAGGAACTGAAAGAATTAATAATTTAGATACTTTTTGAAGAGAGAGCATCTCTAAAATCCATAGGTCCTGATACTTGATTTTTAAATTAATATTTTTCTAATATAGATCCTTTCATTATTGATCTATGATAATCTTTATTAATTTTTTTTAATGCATCTTTTTGATCTGTAATTTTTTTATAAATTACTGGTTCAGAGAAACTATTAAATAATTTCAATTAAGCATCATCAAACAAAAACAGTTTTAATGAATCAATTTCATATAACTTTTTTACAATATTAGATAATTCAAGATCTGACATAATTTTAGATTTAGCAATTTAAGCCATAATAGTTTTTTTGTCATATGTTTTTTTGCAACAATATTTCAATATACAAATATCACCCATTATCTTACTTAATTCAATTTGAAGATATGTTAAAAATGAATAATCTAACTAATTTGAATATAATTAATCTAAACCCTTTCTCTTATCTGATTTTAAACTAGATTCAAAACTATCATTTTCCTTTATTATTGTATTATCTCTAAAATCAAACTTAAACACTTAATTCATTACCTTCACATAAGTTTCATGAGCTATATATATTTTATAAAGTATCTTTGCGAAACCTAAAATAGCCACAGTTAATCCAGAAGCTTAAGATACAGCATCAAGGAATACACTAAAAGGTTCACTCTTTGAAGCAAAGAAATATTGAGAATCAGAAGAAGTCCTTAAATAAAAAGAACATAATTCTTCTGCTGTATTAAGTGTCATAGGATATTATCTTCTCTCTTATTTTTCAACTTTAGAAGATCTAAAGATTCTAGTTCTTGCTTCTTCATTATTTGTTAAAGAACTAAAAATATTTTTACTATTAATCAAATCAATTAGGATTGGTTATAAAAATATGTCTTCACCATTTGCTATTCCTACATTTAATCTCCAAAAAACTATATAAGCTTTTTCTTCAGAAGGTTGTGTCATATTTAAAGTTTATTTAATTTTAGAATCTTAAATGAAAATATTAACATTAATTCTAAGAAAATCTTAATAAAATGATTACCCTTTGTTTAATAAACTTTCAATTTAATCAATAGATTTACAATTATTAGAATTACTACACTTAAGAACTGAAACTTTTAAATAGTTATATGTTGAATCAAAAAATGAACCAGATAATTTATAGCCTCCATTAAAACATATGAATTTATTTTTCTAATCATCTGAAATAGATTATGAATTGAATTTAAATTAATCTATGATATTTGAAGAACATTTAGAAACATTAAGTTAGTTTATTTCTCTTTTATATTGAGATGTATTTAATGGTCTTACTTATTTAACATATTCAACTCTAAATTATAAATATCTATGATTGATATTAATTATATACGTCTAAAATTCTTAATCATAATTAATGATTTCTCCACTTTAAGCATAAGATAGTTATAATAAAAAACGAGAAGTATTTTAATCTAAATATTAAAAATCACTGGTTGTTTATGTTCCTGCATAAATTGATCCAGATTTTGAAATTGAGGAAATAAAGATGCTTATTGTATAAACAATCATTAGTACTAAAATTGTAATTGAAAAAAAACCCCCTTAATTAAATATTTTGGATACCTAGTTTTGTCAATGATTTTTAACTCTTTGTTACATTAAATTCATAAGGAGTGACAAGCATATCTATATGTCTTAAATATTTTTAAAATTTAGGCATAAAATCTAATAAATTAGAAATAAATTTGTAATAATTATATTAATGTCCAATACTGTAAAATCTCAAGAAAACGATACTCATATATTGAATTCTAAAAAGCAAGAATATTATGAACCTTCTATTTACAATAGTACATAAGAATAAAATATATAAGTATAAATACATAAATAGAATAGAATTAATAATAATTGTTAAACTAATATAATATAAGTCAATAATATCAATCTATTAGAGAAATAAATTCATCAATATCATCAGAATCTGTCCCTGCAAATGAAAAATTATTAGAATAAAAATAAATTAGTTAAGGGTATGTAAGTTTTGCTAAATAAAATGATTAATCTTAACCTTCACAGTAGGAAGTAGCTGGCAATGCATTATAAAATTAAAATGCAAATTGTCACTATAAATCTATTTAAGAACAAATGTCTGATTTATCTGTAATTCAAAATGAATAGTTCATTTGTGCTCCAAATTTGTTATAATGTTAATAGGCATTTTGCTACATACTTGAATAAATGATAAATTTAGAACTTTTAACTCCAAACATTTCTATAAAATTTGATAAAGAAATAGAAGGTTATCTTCAATTAAAATATTAACTATAAAAAGATGATTTAAATAAATTGATAATATAAGAAAAGGAACTTTTAGAATTCTTTTAAGGATGGTTTTCATATGATAGAGAAATTGAAAAATTATAAACAACAAGTAATAGTAAGATATAATATCATTTAAATCTTAATTTTTAAACCTAGTATGATTTTGAGAATGAATGTTTGAAAAATTTCAAAAAATTCATTCTAAATAAGAAAATAAATGAATTAAAAAAATTTAAGGAATATTATAAAGAACAAAACACTCTAAATAATTGGAAAAAAATAATTGATGATTTAAAAGTTAATAACATTTAAGTCTTTATTATGCTTTGTTTAATTAAGGATTAAGAACCATAGAATAAATTTACACATTATTCTCTTTAATGGTGGTTTAATTGGAATTAGACTTCAGTTTTTATAAAAACCAAAGAGAAATATTAATGAAAATATATTTAGATTATTATATCATATAAGATTATTTTAAAAGAATATAAAAATAAATTTGATTTTTTGTTAATAATTATATGCATAATCCTGTTGAATATTATTATTCCAACGATTACTATTTGTCATAAATAACAAATGGTAACATAAGTCGTCTTAATACTTCCTACTCTCCTAAAAAGATTTTGATGAACATATGTAAGAATGATTGTCAAACACTTATTAAACAAAAAACCTTTAATTTAGAATCAAAAGAAATACATCCTCATATTGTTAGACATAAATGTATTAAATAATCTTTTACTAAATTGGCAGAATCTATTCTTAGTGTAAGTAATTGTTTTGATAGTATTACAAGTACATCCACAAAAACTGATAAATTTGTTTAAAAATTAAAACATAAAATAATTACTCCATCTACTACTCCACCTAAACCTCATAATCATGAAATACGTAGAATTCCAGGCAGACTTCACAAAGGAGTTTTATTAAGAAATCTTGATAATTCAATTAATTATATTGATAGATCATATATTTTAGATCCAAAATAAGAATTTGGAACCTTTTCAATGAGTCCAAAACCTAAAATTATAGATCGTAATTCAGATTTATTTAGATAAAAAAATAAATAAATATCTAATGCTGCTAATATTTCAAGCTAAAATAAAGATCTATAAAAACAACTTATAATTAGAAAATCTCTTTTAAATAATGAAATTACTAATAATTCTCTTAAATAAACTACTTCCAATATAATTGATTAAACTATTGAAGCAATGAAAGTTGATTGTTTTTACACAAAAATTAGTCTTAATAATACTAATCATTTAGTTTTGATATAATTTGAGAATGTTTTGGGATATGATGAATAAAGTTATTTTGGATTACAATCTGATTTCATTAATAGCAAATAATATAATGAATATATAGTTTTAAGAGATCATTATTTTTAGAAGGTTTCATCATCTCAATCCTTTTATATACTTAAAAATTTCAAAGAACTATTTAATTCTATTTCTCGTGTTTATTAAGTAGGTTTATTTACAATATAATACCCTTAATTACTAAAAGAATTTCTATAAGAAAGAAAATTAAAAGTTAATTGTGGATTTTAAATAACAAATTATAAAATTGATACTTTTGTATTTGATATTACTTAAGTATTGACTAATCTTTAAATACTTACAGCAGATTTATTAATAATAATATAACCATTTCATATATTAAATAAATAATAATCTCATAATAATACTAATTCAAAAATTCCCTATTATGAATACTATGGTTAAAGGTTCTTTCTACCATTCTCAGAGAAAATTCATCCTAATAATTGTAGATTATTAGCCTTACCTTAATTATCAATGGAATCTCTATTAAAATAAGATGAATAAAGTAAAGGATTTGTACAAATTAATTATTTTATTGAATAATTTACATTGGCATTATAGAGTGAAAGTTACTTTGTAAAGTTTCTTAATAAAAGTTAAAATAGAATTAAAACTCTTGATTAATCAACATATTTTAGATCATAAAAATAATACTTATTAAGATAGTTATTTTTTATTGATACTTTAAAGATTTCTGAATAAAAGTAATATTTAATTAAGATGAAAAAGAAAGAAATAATATAAAGAATTATATAGAAATTTGATCATTCAAAATAAGCTGAATAATATGTAAATGATTTAATGTTAAGGAATAAAGAGATTTTTAAGAAAATGAGAAATTATAAATAAGAAAATGTGAATAAATTGCATAAATTATAATAAGAGCTTTCTCAATAGCTAATTAGATATAATTATTGTGAAATGTTTGTTGATACAACATACTATTTAGCGTATTGATATATATATGCTTTTTTATTGTAAATACTCATTTTTTCATTTCTTAAACAATCCATTTCTGATGTCTGGTAAGAATTCTTGTAATGAAAGCTCTAATCTATCATCTAATGTGTTAGAACAAACTATTCTGTTATTAGCACAACTCAAAACAACTCCTCCTAAACTAATATATGTTTATATCTTAAATTTTACATTGGTTTACCACCTTTATCTGTTAGATATTGACTCTAATTAATGCTTAATGTTGTCTTAAAGTCTTTAGCTGTTTCTCTCTAAATAATTTTAGTAAATTCTTCTTAACATTCTACTAAAATGGTTCTAATTAGTTGTACATCCTATTCTAAACACATCAATTCAATTCTAGGTTCAAGTAACTTAATCATTCCTTATATTATCAAGTTCTTTAGTAATTCTTTATAGACACTTTAATCTTGGATTAATTTTGACATCTTTTAACGAATTTCTTCTTTAAGTCTTTAGATTAACTCAAAACGTGCTTGCATTTTAGACAATCTTGATTGATTAATTTTAGATGATCGTTGACTAAACTTACTTAATATCTTTACATTCTCTTTTCAATTGTATATGACTCAATCTTCTTTTTATATTCTTCAATAATTCTCTCTTTTTATTAATTGAGTAACTTGTTCTTTTCTATTCTAAACTATTAAGCAGCCATGTCTTTGATTTATTCAGCCTTTTCATTAGCCTAAACAAATAGATAAACATCAATATTACCTCAGCTTTTATGGCATTAACCATCTTCTTTACTCTCTCTTATGGATTAAAATCTGCCATGTTATTTAATTTATGAATAAAATACCAATCAATTCACCTATTAAAGATGACTCAATTAAGTACCTTTAAATTATTAGAGAGAAAGAGGAATCAATTCAAGCACTTTAAACTATAAATGATTAATTGAGATAAGACATAAACCAACTTTAAAGTCAACTTGCAGAATCTTTTAACACTAAAAATTTCAAATACTAAAAATTAGAAGAATCTAATTAACAATTAAAAGTAATGTTAACAGATACATAGAATCTTGTATTACAATATCAAAGTGATATTGATATTTATCATTAAATTGTAGAATAAATAATCAAATATACTCAACTCTATAGATTTAATCAAAAAACAACAATCCCTCAAATTCTAAATTTCTTAAATCAAGAAGTCTTTAATTAAGACATTGTCAATCTTTGGAATGAATTAAAATAAATTCTAAAGTAAGCTATAGATTAGATAAATATTAAAATGTCTTCTCCTTAATTAAAAGAAATATATACAAAATTCTATAAAAATTATGAAAATCAATATCATCCATTATCAACTATGTCAATATTTGAAGAAATCATTTTAATGTTAAATGAAAAAGTATCTCAATAAATTGAAACATAAGTAATGAATTATTCTGATCAATTTACACATTAAATAAATAAGATCAATCTATTTGAAACTTCAATTGTTTTAATCAATTTTGAAGAAGATTAACTTAAAAAGAAATTGAAATCTTAATAAAAATAAATTATTTAACTTAAAGAGGAATTAGAATCATAATTTAAAATTAAGAAGATTTTTGAAGAATAAATCTAAACTTTAACAATGAAAAGTTCTGAAAGAAAACCTTTTATTGAAATATTAAGTATAAAAGATGTTAGTTCTTCATCAGAAGATGATAATGTTGAAATATTAAAATTAAATAATGAATTAGAATAAAAAGATACACTTATATAAAAGTTATAATAAACAATCTAAAATCAACAATTAATGTTAGATAGAGTAAATATAGAGAATTAATATTGGGATTTAATTATTAATTGTGATGAGGATAGTTTATTCACAATAATTAATTAAGGATGGACATTAAATTTTAAATAAGATTATGGACTTTCAAATTATTAAGTTTTTTATTCATTTCTTGGTTTTGATAGTTCATATTTATAATTCATTTTAGAGAATCTATTTGTTAATGACTTTTATTTCTAAAAATTATCAGATCAAACTTATTTATAATTAGCAAATAATTAACTTGCATATTTAAAATCAATATTTTGTAATGAATATAATACTCTTATTTAAACAAAAGTATTACATCCATTAGTAAATAATTTTTATGAAACAAGTGAATTGGTCGAAGGATAATAAATGTTAAATGAATTTTGGATAAAATTTTCACTTAATAATGGAATATTATTTCTATGTTTAAAAAATTATAATCAATAAAACTTAACTTTGTTATAGTTAGCTATTAATATTTAAAATTAAATTGATTAAACATCAGTTTTAATAGTAATATTTGAAGATGAATATACAGAGTCTGATGTTGTAATGAAAATAATTTAATCTAATGAATTTATTGGAGTAGATGATGAAATAGATGATTAATAATAAAATATTAGAATTAGTATGACAAGTGGTGATAATTTTGATTTTAATAATTTAAATAAGAGAATAAGTAAATAAAAAATAGATTATGTATAATAATTAAATCAATTTATGAAACATAATTTAGATGTGTATTTTAAGAAATCAGAACAATCTAAATTAGAATTCAATTAATCATTACTTTCTGAAAATGTATATGAAATGAAATTAGTTTAAAGTTAAGAATCAGATTAAATTAAATTATAAACACATAGTTAAGTATAAGTCATAAAGAATGATGAAATAATGATCCATAAAATATCAGATAGTTAATATGATATATTCTTTTTTGAAAAATTATAAGAAGTTAGATTAAAAAGCTATTAAATTAATAATTAAGGTTTAATTATAAAATTAAAATGTACTTTTGACAATGATGATATGATTACTAAATAATACATATTAAAATCAACATATATAAAAGAAGATTAAGGAGAGATATCACACACTATCTTTGATAATAAACTGATTTTGTAATTATGATTATGTTATAAAATATTTACTTAATAAAGATTAACAAAATGATTATTATAATAGAAATCTAAGTATTAGAATGAATTAATAAAAATAAAATCTTCTTTATCTTCATAACTAGAGAGGATTGTTTAATTATTTTAATATATTTGCTAAATCTTATTAAATCTTTAAGAAAATAATTCTTAAGACATCTATTTTAATGTTATTGCAAGAGAATAATCTGTTTTAAGAGCTTGCAAAGTTTTGAAGCAGTATGATATGATACTTGGAAAAATAATAAATAAAACTCATTTTTAATGATTAAGGTGAACGAGTACCAATCAACATAGGTAGTTTTCTATTAGCAATTCATTTTAAGGTTATTTAAGAAAACTTTCACTATCATCAAAAGTTTCTGATTCATTTTTGATAAAATTAACATATATTAAAGACTGAGATTAAGATATGTTTTCTTTCCATTATGTGATTTATTTATTCTTTGAATAAACTATAGACATATTACTAATATTATTACTTGAAGATCGTTTATCTATTAATCCTAGAATAGTTTATTCTTGGTCTGAAGCAGCTATCTACATTTGATTTAAAGTATCATAATGTTTTTGAATTCTAAGAGTATTGCCTCTAGTCTTTTTGATCTTTTTAGAAGGTTTTAATTAAAAGAAGCACTCAGATTCATCGTCTTCAATCATTTTATTATTTTAATGATTAATATCTCTCAGTATATCTACAGGTATTTAAGCTGATATGATTTAAGAATTTAAGTAAATAATGCATATTATCATAGCAAATGAATTCAGGAATCATAAATGAATAATTATATTGGATTCATTTGATTATGAATTAACTAAGAATAAGAAGATATCAATATAAAATATGATGAAATATTTATATATTTATGCAAATACTAACATATTCATATGATTGCAATCATTTGAAGAAATATAATTTATCCTAAAATAAATGATTTTTAATACAAATTTAGCAAACAATTCTTTACTCTAACTGGAATGAGTTGTAGAGTTATAGATAAGATGTAAATAATATCCAATTTCTTCCTTCACTCTCTCTTACCATAATGGATACTCTTTCAATTAATCCAATAGATTAATGTATTTATTAATGGCTTCTTCTAAGTGATGTTCATAAGTTAAATTTGTATGTTCACTTCTAAACCAAGTATTGTGTGTTGCTATTTCTTTGGTTAATTCTAAATAGAGTGATCTATATTCCCATGTTGCTCTATGTAAATCTAAGATGAAAGAATATAAGTTTTCAAATTGAACAAACTTTTGTCTTGCCAATTCATATTATTCCTTTTCACTTTATTCATATTCAATATATAATTACAATGATTCAAGTCTTGGAGTCCAATTTCTAGCTATGTGAGAGTAGAATCTGCATTCATAATAACTCATAGGGTCTCTTTCTAAGAATCCCTCTTCTGGGTCTTAGAAACCAGCCTTACACATTTCAGTCATTATTCTATCCACTTATACTAAAATTTAATTGACATATAATTTACATGAGTAGTTGATGACTCTGCTCTTAATGAAATATGAAGCAAATCTTGTTACGATGGACATCCTTTTATTATAATTAATAATAAATTAATATATTTAAAAACTGAAGAAAACTCTATGTTTTAAAATTATTTCTTCTATTGTTTTATTAATTTAAGGATATATTTATAAATGGGTTCAATCTGCTCTGCAAAAAAGAATCAATCAAAATTAAATAGAGAATTAAAAACTAATAATTAACCCTATTTATAACCTTCATCCCTTGTAGGTCAATCATTGCCTTTGGAAAACAAACTAGAAAATGTTCTTGATTAATAAATCTAGGATTTATTATAGCTATTTAAAAGATTCTGTATGTTTCTTGATCTTGTTGGTAATTTAGATTAACTCCCAAAACATACTAGAGAAAAAATTAATAGTTGCATCATAGCTAAACAAAATATATCTATTATCATACAAAATAATATAAAACGAGTTATGAGAGAATAATAAATAATAAAACGAATAGATGAATCAGATTATTATCTTATATATAATGATAATAAATTTGCAAGTGCTTTCAATTAAATGATGTAAAAGCTATCCAATATCATAATAACTGATCTTAAACCAGATGAAGATTTTCAATTAGCATTTCCTATTTTGGCAGTGTCTTTTGAAGAAGAAGCTTAAAAAATTATTTAAATTGTAGAGAAAATAAAAAACATTTAAATTATCGCAATGAGAAAGGGAAGTTCTTAACATTCGCTTTCTATTAATTAATTATAACAAAAACGAAATTCTTCCTAACATTGAAATAAAGTTATTTATTTCATAATTCAAACTTTATATTGAATTTATTAATTGCACTCTATTTATTTTCATTAATTTGATTGAATATTAAAGATTTTTTTGTAATCTATTATTATTTTATATGATGCAAATAATTATTGGATATTTTTAGATTAATAAATATTATAATTTAATTTTGAAATCTGTAATGCATTTAAAATTTTTTTATACATTTTCTTAATTTTTTTATTTAAGTATCTTTCAATTATTGTATTGCTTAAGAAATTTTTGAAAATTTTAATGTATTTAATATATATATTTATTAAATTAACAGTTAATGGATAAGATTGATAATAATAGTGTAACAAGCATTAATGAAAAAGAATTAGAAAATAATTTGAAAGACTTATTAGAGCGAGTTTTATTAAAAATTGAGAATTTTATTGAAACAAAAGAGGAATTAAATTAAGTGGAAGCTGAATTAAAAGATTATGAAACTTTGTCTCATTTGATTGGTATAATTAAGGCAGTTTTTACAAACCTTATGATGAAAGTAGAAAAGAAAATATAGTACTTATTTAATTAAAATATGTACTTAGCAAATTAGAAAAACAAATTGATCCTAACCATTCTGTAACCAAAAGTTTAAGGTCTGATGAAGAATATGAAAAATTAGAGTAAATTTTAATTAAATATGAAGGTGAAATAAGAAATCATATAAAAGTAATTTATTCACATTATTTAGATTGAATAATAATTAAAATTATATGCTGAGTCTCTTTAAAATAAATTAGATGAAAGTGAATCAAGTAGAGCTGAACTTCTTGAAACTACTAAAAAGTTGATTAGTGTATTGATACATCAAAATAATAGAATTTAAAAAGAGAAAATTAAACATATCATGAAAGTTAATACAAATAAAACATAGAAATTGCTACCTTAAAATAAATTATTAATAATTTAGAAAAAGAAAATAGAAGAAAATCTTAAGACTTAAGTTAAAGAGATAACTTAAAAGCATATACAAAGAAAAATTAATAACCAATTATTCAATAATTATAATTTTTAAGTAGATTATTTCTATTATTATTTTTTTTTAGATTAAAGAAATTAAAAATCTTATTCTGAACATAAATTAATTTCTTAAATTAATAAAACTTCCTATACACTAGAAAACAATGAAATACCAATCAAATCCTAACCAACACTTAAATAAAATTATTATAATATAATAAATTATGGACACTAAGCCAATAAAATAGATGTTTTAAAAGTTATATAACAAAAAGATTTAAGCAAAATTTATGGTTAAAAATTGAAAAGCAAAAATAATTCACTCTCTACTATTCAAGATCTAATCTAAAGTGTATCAGTATAGGACAGAAAAAAAGGTATTATTAGTTAATCAATTTCAAAAAATAGCTCTTAAAATAATAGTTAAATCTAAAAATATAAAGGTATAATTATTAATTAATAAATATATAGATACATGTGATTAAAGTAGAAGTAAGAGTTCAAGAAGAGCAAATATATGTACAAAATAAACTCAAATTGAATCTCAAATAAAATTAACTAGTTGATTATAAATACATTTAAGTTATTTTCATTATTCATTCAAAAACTTCAAATTCTATATCACATTAAATTTATATTCTTATTATCTATAATTATTATATCTTTAATTCTAAATTAATTATACTAAATAATATTTTGAAAGCTTAAAATAATTAAAAATGATTAGAAATATATTTAAATATTAACCATTCTAATCATATAATTTTAAGTATATATATTTTTGTATATTTATATATTAATATTAATGGCTTAATAATTAGTATAAAGGTATGATGCAGATGAAAACTTGTCTAAATTTCTTAATAAGGAATTAGGAAAATCAATCAAGTTCTAAAAAAAACATGTAATTCTAAAATTTTATAGAGTAGGAAAAAGAACTCAATAATTTATTAGCTTACTAATAATTAATAAAAGATGAGAAATTAAAGAATGAAAATAAATTACACTAAATGTTTTATAAGGAGAAATTGATTGATCATTAAAAAAAATAAAAGGATGACTTTGTAATAATTCATCTTATTTTTAGCTGAAAGAATAAAAAGTCAACAAAGATCATTAATTTCTATATAAATAAAAGGAAAATGATTATATTAATTCTTTGGATGCAAGTTGGTGCTTTTATTAAGATTATTCTCCATCAAAAGATATGAAACCATTGAAAGTAGATGCTGAAAGAGAGAAGGTTCTTCGATTCTTATTCAAATAACTTTAAACAACTACTGATAATGTTGAAAGAGCACTTATTAAAAAGAAGATTAATAAGTTTAGGGATTCTGAAGTATAATAATACATTATAATTTTAATAGATTTCTAAAAAGAAACTAGATTACATTGATCATAAAATAGAATATGCAAAATAAGTTAGAAGTGAATCTCTCGATAGATCTATTGATAAGATTAGAATGCATGATATGCATATTATTGATGTTTAAGAAAAAAATAATCTTATAAATTAAGAGAAACAATCATATTATAATGACAAAATAAATTAAATTGAATAGAAGATATAAATGATAGAGAAACAACAATAACGTAATAAATTAAATAGATTGAATATTGAATAATAAAAAGATGAATATCGATAAGCAGTAAGATCTAATTCTCAAACTCTTATACATCAAAAGGAATTAATAAATTAAAATCATTTTAGTGAGAAAATTTATAAATTAAACTTCCTTGTTGATTAGAAATAGAAATTATTGAAATAAAGATAAGAATTATTAGATGCATTGAATTAAAAAAGACTCATTGCTCGACAATCTTTGGATGATGTTAAATATCCTCAGATAAACTCGAATAATTATAAAGCAGTCAATTATTGAATTTACATATCTCAAGTAAATCAAAATTAGATATCATTATTAATATTTTTTATCATTTAATTCTTCTAATTACATATTATGAAATTATATTCCTTTCATTTTATTAAAATAAACATTATATAAGTAATGTTGATCTTATAATTTGAATCATTGTTATTAAAAATGTTGATATTTTATAGTTTTAAATTAATTTTGAGAATTGCTTAAACTATTTTATATTTTATTAAGTAATCTAGTTGATTAAACAAAAAACAAATTAAATTAAACTTATTAGATAATACATATTTACATTATAAATTGAAATTTAATAAAGCATATTAATATATTTATAATTTATTAAAAATAAATTGAAAATAAAGGAAAATTACAAAATGTAAAGTACTCCATCTACAATTTATTATTTTGATTATCAAAATTAATATAAATAGTAATACAATACAATTATCAAGGCTTTAATCAAAGACCACTTGTGATATCTAAAGCTTTGACTTTTTTTCCATCTTTCCAGATTCCTTCCTTAATGATTCCATCTGGAAATATGTATTTACCTTTCCCATGTTATTTTCCATCCTACCATTATCCTTCATATTTCTTTCCATCAGCCCATGTATATGTACCATAACCATCTTTACGATCTTATTTATATTCACCTTCATATTTTCTACCATCTTTCCAAGTATAGATTCCTTTTCCATGCATACAATTATTTAGCCATTAACCAGTATATCCTCTTCCATCAGCCCAAAAATAAGTGCCAAATCCAGTAATTTTATTATCAAACCAATCCCCTTCATAAAATGATCCATCTGGCCATTCATATTTTCCTTTACCCTATTTCTTACCTTCAAAATATATTCCAGTATATTTGGAACCATCAAACCAAGTTTCAACACCATGACCATGTTATAAATCATTCTTCCATTCTCCTTCATACTTTGATCCATTTGCATGTGTATAAACACCATACCCATTTGCTTTATCATTTTCCCAATAACCATCAAATGTATCCCCATCAATATGATAAAACTTTCCTTTGCCATTTGCATGACTTAATTTCCATTCTCCAATATATTTGGCACCATCAGCCCAAGTTTGAGTTCCCATTCCTTCTCTATATGTACCTCTCCATTAACCTTCATATACTGCTCCGCTTTTAAATTTATAAGCAGGACGTGTTTCTAATTCAAAAGAAGAAGAATTTTTTGGTAGAGTAATTGCTTCAACTTATTCTCCTAGATAATTTTTTTTAGTATCTCTTTTGACAGAGTTTTTTAATGTTTTCTTTTTTCTAACCAAATAACCTCTCCAATTTTTTTGAATTTAGATTGCTGCTTTATTTTGCTTTTAAACTTTATTTTAGTGCTCTTCTGTTTCAGTATCTTTTTTAACTTCTTTTTATTAAATTTTAGCATATGTTTGTTTTATACTTTATTTAGAACCTGATCTTTTACTTTTCAAACTATTTGGATCAGATTTTGCGATCTAAAATTAAAAGGAGTCATACAATAATTTCAGTTGCTATTTATTCTTTTTATTATTATTGGCATTAACACTGAGAAGCACATTAATTTCCCATTGAAAAATATAAATTGATAATTTTTATTAAATAAATAATGTGGTTATATCATTCATTTATCATGATAAGTAAGTTTTCTTTATCTTAGTAACATATTCTCTATCACAATTGATCAATTTAATTTGAATTATATTCATAAACACAAATAATTGTTACATGGTTTTAAGATCATAGATTCCACTATTTAATTGTAAATCACACATCATTGACTTTTCTTGCATTAAATAAAATATTTAAGAGTTTTAACTAATTTGCTTTCTATCTTTTTAATGTCTTCAAAATATTATTGTTTCAGAATTTCTATATCTGCTTCATATAATTTAATTGTAATTTAATCATCCCATTCTCTAATTTCACTTAATTAACCTTATTTTTTCCAATTATAATTGATATTGTATTATGCAATTTTGTTAATTGAATGTTAAATCCTATATAATTTTATGATAAGGTTATTAGGTTTTCTTTTAAATAGTTTAATCCCAAGAAATAACTATAAAGTTTTTTGATGTTATAATTAATTTCAACAAATGTCTTGATATTTGAGAATCAATTAGATGCTAAATAAATTGATTAATTTGACAAATTACAACCTCTTACAATATTTTCATACTTAAATGTAGAGATTTGAAATTAAAATATGAGAAACAAATTTATTTTATATGAATAAATCTAATCAATTCTATAAATTAATAGAAGTACGAGAATTAGTTAATTTAAATATATTTTCATTATCTAAATGATAAATAATAACTATATTACTTACTAACATATATGTATAATTTATAAAAATTTGAGATTTCGTCACTATTTTAATATAATTAATGAGCAAAAGTTTAGGAACTCCGATAAAATTAGTAGTCATAGGAGATGGTACAGTAGGCAAAACTTGTGCACTCTTGACGTACTTTTAGATTAATAATTAAGTTACACTACTGGTAAATTCCCTGAAGACTACATCCCTACAATATTTGAAAATTATAGTGCATCTATCACTATTGATGGCAAAAAGGTGAATTTAGGTTTATGGGATACTGCAGGTTAGGAGGATTTTAAATAAATTCGACCATTGAGTTATCCAAATACAGATGTATTTCTATTGTTTTTTGCTGTCAATGAATAATCTTCATATATTAATGCGTAATAAAAAGTAAATTAAGTTTAATATGCATATCAAGTGGTATCCTGAATTGAGATCAGCCTTAAATAATGTTCCAATAATTATTGTAGGCAGTAAAATTGACTTGAGACAGAATGATAATAAATGTGTGCAAAGAGAATCGGTATACATTATTTAGTAGAATTAAAGGCCAAAAGAATGGCAGATTAATTAGGATGTCTTTATTTGGAATGTTCGGCAAAGGATAAAATAGGACTTAATGAATTATTTGAAGAGGCTGTTAGAACTGCATTAAGATCAAAGAAACCAAATAGAGCTTAAGAAGAGAGTAAATAAAATAAGGATAAGAGCTGCCAATTAATTTGAATTATTAATTTTATTATCAATAAAATTAAATATTATATAGTAAATCTATTATGACAGAGGAACATTGTGATTATGTATTCAAATTTATAATAATTGGCAATGGAAATTGTGGCAAAACAAGTCTTCTATATCATTATATTCATGGAACATGTAATTTATCAGATCAAATAAGAAATATCTAATGTAAAATAGACATTGGGTGTTGAATTTTCATCTAAAATAGTACAAGTCAATCAAAAAAAGATTAAGATGTAATTGTGGGATACAGCAGGTTAAGAGAGATATAGAGCATTAACAAAAGGTTATTATAGAGGAGCATTAGGAGCCTTAATAGTCTTTGACATTACTAAGTATATATTAACAGTAATTTAGTTCAGCATCTTTTGAAGCCTTATAAGAATGGATTAAATATGCAAGAGATTACTCAAAACCTTCTATTTAGATTATTATTATTGGAAATAAGGCTGATTTGGATAAGGAAAGGTATATTTGTAATTTTTAAATTGAGAACCATTTCTTAATAAGCTGCCAAATAGTTTTGTTAAGAAAATGAAGTCCAATATATTGAAACTAGTGCATCAACTGGTTATTAAGTTAATGAAGCTTTCATATAAATTGCATCTAGAATTTTGGATTTACTTTAATAAGGATCAATTGATGCAAATTTGATTAAACCTAAATTTTTAACCTCTATTAAGAGTAATGATTAGCAAAATGCATAATGTAATTGTTGACCTCTTTTTTTTGTTATCAATATCTAAAATTCGTCTAACAAAATATAAATATCAATAAAAATACGTAATATTTTTAAATATTTTTCAAATTTTACTATTTAAAAAAGAATAAGATTGACTGTCTCTTCTTATATATAATTATATATATATATATAATATATCATAACTGATATCCTACTCAGAGGTTTTCAACGTTACCACCTTCATCTTCAAGTTCTGAGGTCCACAATGTTAAGTTGTCTCTGATGAGTTACATAATGGTTGTGGCATCCTTGTATTGGTCTTCTTAGATTTATTCAATATCGGCGATGGCATCATCGAAAGCCTAAAGATGATTAATTTAAACTATTACTGATTTAGCTAATTAACAAGCCTTGGCGGCATCATTTAAAACTTCATAATAGAAAACGGAGAAATTCAAAGCAAGTCCTAATCTAATTGGGTTTGTTGTCTTTAATTCAGAGTTAGCAACTTAAGAAGCAGCTTAATAAGCAGCAAGTGCTCCATCAGCAGCCTTTTTATGTTAATCACCTGTGGCATATTCAGAAATATATCTGTGATAATCTCCTTTCATCTTGTGGAAGAACACCTTGGCTTCTGGGGTAGAGGCTGTTTTGATTAAATGGCTATCGATCAAATTAAGAATGTCATTGCAATATTGATTAAGCTCTTCTTCAATCTTCTTTTTGTAGCTTCTGATCAAAACAAGATTCTTTTAGGAAGCTGGTTAAGATTAAGCCTATAAATATAATTAATTTATATACCTTTCCTTCTTCTTTGTTTTCGATGCTTGATAATACTCTCCAAGCTGTTCTTCTTCCACCAATGCTGTTTTTATAAGCAACAGAGAGAAGGTTTCTTTCTTCAATTGACAATTCTTATCCATTCTCAACAACTTATTTGATATAATTGACCATATCTTCAAATCTCTCGGTTTATTCTGTCAATTTTGTCATGTAGATGAGTTCCTCTCTAGTGCTCATTTTGGATATTTAAAATTTAAATTTTTTAATTATTTCCAGAAATTAAGAAGTCCCTTAAATATCATGATTCGCACTATATCCAAATTTATTTAATTATATAAAATATACATTATTATTCCAATCTATATGTCTAACATCTTTTTACTTATATTATTTAAATATATATATATATATAGAATCATCATTTTTCTAATATATCATTGAAATATATATCTTTTATTTTATGTTTGAATGTTAATTGACATTTATAAAATTAAATGATTAATCATAATTTATAGTAATTGAATGAATTATTAAATATTTTAGATCTTTTCTTATATTTTATTTATTCGTAAAGTGAGAAATATATAACTGTTTATTATGATAAATAATTTATAAAAATGGAATAATTTAATGGAAAACCTTAGGTATATTATATATCAAAATAAAGGATAATATTTTAATCACATAACCATTAACAAAACAAAAGTATCCAGCACTATTTCATGATGAGAGATTTGGAAAAGATTTTGAATCAAATTACTCAAAGCTATAGGAAATTATGGATGTAAAAATTAACTTTTAAGACTTTAGAATTTATAAGGGAAGGTTGAATAAATAGTAAAGAGTTAAGAAGATGACTTTATGAAAGCATATAAAGATTAAATGAATGAATTGCAAGTTGATTTAAAAGCAATGAAAAGAAAAATTGATGAAGAGTCATTAAAATAAAAAGCTGATGAGAAAAAAAGAATTTTAGAAGAAGAAAGAGATTACTTTAGATAAGAAGCACTTAGATTAGATAATTTAAATAAAGAATAATTAAGAACAATAGAAGAATTAAAGTTCAAGTTAAAAATTACAATTGAAGAAAAAAATTATTATGAAGGTTTTGTTATAGGTATTAGTTTAATTTATTATATTAAAGATTCTAAAAAAGAAAATAAAGCATTAAAATTTGAACTCTTATAATTATATAAATAGAAAATGGAAGATTAAAAAGCAATAAATAGAATACAATAACAATAATAATCATAATAAATTACTAAATTAAATTCAAAAAAACAATCTGATAATAGACCATAAACTTAAGAAGGAATAAGATCAGAAGCCAATTTATTAATTAAAGATGATTTTAATTCTGAATTTCTTAGAAGAGAATAATCTTCTAAAGGAGGATTTAGATCATAATTATCAACTAAAAACAATGATTAAGCATCAACATAATATGATTTCTTTAGAAGAGAAATTTCTACTTAATAATAAAGTAGATTTCATCCAGAAAATTAAATGGTATTTTTACTAAAATTACTTTTAGATAGAAGAAAGAAATAATTAAATTGCAGAACTTAAATAATTATTATAGAAAGAAAAGTTCTTATGTTAGTAATTAAAGTGTGAATTATAAAGACAGAATTCTTAAAGAGGAGAACTTGAAGTTATATTATTAGATTGTGTGAATTAACTTAAAAAAGATATTGCATCTAGATAAACTGTTTAAAAATAACCATTTTTGGGTAATACTAATAAAACTCCTAAAGTTGCTGAATAGATTGCCTTTGAAGATATTGACTATCGATAATTTACTCATTAAGATAAAAAGTAATAATTTTAATCAAATTATAGATAACTTCTCAAAAAATTTTTAAGCTCTGAATAATTTTTAGATCAAATATATTAACTTACTTTCAATAGTCAAATGGCTAGTACATCTTAATTAAAACTTAATGAGAAATGGAAGTAAGATGCAAATGATGCTACTAAAAAATTCAATAATTTTAAAATATATAAATTTAGAAACATTACAAGTTAACGTATTTTATCTTATTATAATCAAGCCATTGTAAAATAAGTGATATCAAAATAAGAGTAGAATATATTATCAGATTTATAGGAAAAAGTTGATTAAGGATAAGAACTAGTTGATCAAATTGTACAAAATTGATTCTTTTTTATCTTTGATTTTGATATTGATATTTTTAAATATAAAGACTCATTTAGAATTATTATTTTTAAAAAATCAAATAATGATTTAAATCTCACTGAAACATTATAAATTTGAAGTATTTTTAATCTATAGCATACCTACTCTACTTAAAATGAGAAGATTATAAAATGCCTTAGGTTTATTGCAATCATATTTTTCTGAAACTTGAAAAAACTATTTAAAATAATAGAATACATCATTTGAACTTAATCTACTATTTTTTCCATAATCATTTTAAATATCTTATATTATAATTTAATAAAGTTTATTGTCTTTTTCTTATTCATTAAATTTTTAAGGAGTTTAAGAATATTATTCAAAATTGTTAAATTCTGATATACTCTATTTACTTATGGAATACTATCCTAAATTTTATGATTTAAACTTTTTATGTTCTATATCTGTTGTCAGGTTATCAAAAATTAACAAATTATTTTCTTCTTAAATTTTTCTATTTAAATTTAATTTTACTTCTAGCTAGAATCTTAACAAAAGGAAATTTTATTAATTAAACCAATTAATTCATCTTCATGTTTCCAAAATTCTGGTTCAAGTTATAAAAAGTTAACTTCTAAACTTAAATCATGAATTTTTTCTTTATGTCTCATAAAAGTCTAGAGATTATTTTTAAATATTTCATCAGTATCTTCTTTTATTTTTAAATCTAACTCAGGAGTTTTTTTTAATTAAGCTATTTTCGATTTTTTTTATCTTTTTTATATATATTAATCTTCATTATTTGTATTCTTTTTATTTAATCTCTTCGTTTCTCTACTAATTTCTTATTTTTATTAAATTTCTTAATACTCTATATCTAAATTATCTGCTTAATTTACTTCTTCTACAATATTATCATCATATTCATTAATCTCTTATGGTTAGTTATTAAAATGATAAACTAGTTATTATTTAGATTATTCTATATAATTATTTGATTATTTTTTATTTTTTAATTCTTAATTTTTTTACTACAAAATATCAGAGAGTGAACATTTATAAATTTAAGATAAATCCTTAACAACATTATCAATTTCATATTCTGTTTATTACTAATTATTTCGTTTAAGTAATATATGCATATTTATAGGAGTCTTTTATGATTCTACTAATTATAATTTATCTGCTGCTATTAGGTTTCTTGGATTTTCTTTAAAACTAAATTAAGGCTCATCATCATAATAGCTAATTTTACTATCTAAACTCTTTTCTTTAATTTTACTTTATTTTTTCTTTTTTTTTTATTCATTTTTTTATTATTAATCATCACATTGATCAATTAAAGAATTTTAGAGTATCTCTATGTTTTTTTTTAAAAATTAATGTTGTTTTAGATAAATAATAGCTAACTCTTATAGATATTAACCACACTCTCTAAAGTTTGATGCAATTTAGAATTATATTTAACATTACTTAACAAGTTTCATTAAATTCATTTGTGAAGCTTATTATTTAGATATTTTTGTATTTGTATGAATTAATTAAAAAGGTTTACTCAAATCATTTTCTTGAAGTTCTTCTTCAATCATATTAAAATTTAATAGTATTATTATTAGTAAAATTAAAGAATCCAATTGTTTAATAATATTAATAATAATAAGAAATGAGTGAATATTCATGTTCCTGGGATACATGTTGTGATAGAGTGATTATGGATTCTTTGGTGATCATTGTGATTAACAAATATCTGATATTTTTACTCCTTAATACTATATTTTAATTGGCTCATATTATTTAATCTTTTTATATACATTACTAAATGATTAGATATCTTTAAACTATTAATCGCATGTCCAAAAAATTTAATATTAACATTGTCATTTTTAGTCAGCCTAATTTAATTGATTTAGTTAATTATGGACTTAAAATGTATGTAATTTTATTTATAATATAAAAGAAAGGAAAAACCTTTGTAATTTAACAATTTAAAAATCTATTATTAAAAAGTAAATTGATTCAAGCAATTTGAGTGATTAAAGATAAGATTAAACATAATACACATAGAGAGTATAATAAATTGATGTTTTTGAATAATAGAAGTATTTAGAGGAACAATAATTATCATAAAAATCTAATATTTTAGAATCTGATAAAAATATTCTATATTAAATAATGCTTTTAATATTTTTAGGAATTACATATGAGATTATTTTTGAATTATGTGTATAATTGCTTTAGTTAATGAAGCCATTTATTCAACATATATCTAGCACACTTTAGTTCTTATCATTATTTAATATATTCATATTATTTAAGTGCTTTCGTTCATAAAAAATAAAGAGTTTTAAATAAAAAGAACGATTTGTATTTAAACTATTCATTTATTATACCAAAAGAATACAAACAAGATGATGATATATTAATTAAATTAGAAAGTAGAATCAATTTGATTACTTTATATTGATAATATTCTTATTATTTAAATATATACAATATAATTAAATAAAAATATATTGTTATTACAACAATCTAGAAATTCATATAGTCAATTTCACTTAAAATTATTTTCTTTAAAGTAGTCTGCCCTAACTAATTTGATTAATTTCTAAATAATATTTTTATAAAATACTTCTCTTAGTTCCTATTCTGTTATATCATTTCTTTCGTATTAATCAAAATATTATGTGAGAAAATCATCTTATGCTATTATGAATTCCTTTAATTGAATTTTTTCTTTTTCTGTTATGAATTTATTTTTGAATAACTCAGTTGTAAAATATAATTATTTTGCTGGCTATCTTTATAATTATTCCATTAATATATATTAATATTTTTATAATAATTTTAATTCTTCACTCTTTAGGCTAATTAAGATTCTCTTCCTCTATTAACTTTTTTTATTGATCTTCTTCTGATTGTTAAACTTATTAGATTTCAAATCCTTCTTATTAATTATTATTTTTTTCATTTATTTCTTCTTGATTTTCTGTTTAAACTTCTTTTTCAGTTTCTCCTTATTACTAAAGACTATCTGTTTAAATTTAAACAGATTAATCCTATTACTCTTTTTATATATTGGCCTCCTATTATAAACTTTAATTTCTATATTATTCGATAGTCTAAACTAAAATATCCATTTTAGTATGTATATCTATGAAAATCTTTGTGACTGTTTTATTTCTTCTAATAACAATATCTGGTTCAGGATTTTCAGTTGGTGTTAAATTGGTCAAGGCACGTAAAAATTATTATGCCTAAAGAATATTTTATTAATGATACTTCATTTATATCTGAGTTTAGATTCTCTAAGGATTAATCGTCTTCACCATCATCCTAATATGTTCGTAACAATAATTTTTTATAAGCACCTTCTAAAAAGTTTTGGTTATAACTTTATCTTTTACCTAATAATTCTTATTCTCTAAACTGTTTATTATAATAAATACATCTTCCATTTATCTAACTAAAAACTATCAATTATGAATGTTTAATGTATCAAACCATGATAATACAATTATTAAAGTAATATTGTAAGATACAATGGCAATTTATCTTCTTTTGATGCTAAAAATTCAACACTAAATTCAGGAGCAGATAATAAGTTTTCATTAATTTTTCTCATTTGATTAAAACTCAAAGGTAAGAAGTTTGCTTAAATATATTGAATTACTTAATTCTTCATATCCTTTGCTAATTCTTTTATATCAAATGTTCCATCAATTTAATGAGGATATTCAATTTCTTATTATTTATTGAATAATGCCAATAATGCAATCAAAGGTCTATAGATATTAATATCCATTTATTCTTGTTATAGTGCATCTTCTACTTTCTCCCATTAAATTGCATGAATAATTGCCTCAATTAAATTTTAAACTTTAAAATATAGGGTCCCTTTTAAAGTTTATAAACTCAAAACTGTATAAATATTTTTAGCTAAATCTCGAGCTAATAATTATTCAAACATTTCCCTTTTAAATACTATTGGCCATGCTTTTTTTACTCTAAATTTATTTATATTTATATTTACTAATCTTTAAACCATCCACATACTTCTCTAATTTTAAATAATTCTAAAGCACTCAAAAATGGAAAGATATGTCTAGTAAGTATAATGGAAGGAATCATTTTTAGATTTGAAGTTTCATTCAAATATCTCATATAATCTGAATCATCACTTTTAATTTCAACTGTATAACTCTTACTTAATTTAAATACTAAGCTGTTTGTTTAATCATTATAATTTTATAATTGATTTAGATTTAAAGTATTTAATGTCATAATACCGAATATGTCTTAACATGAAATCTATTATAATATATTTTATCAATACAGGTTTATTTTCTTCCTCTTCTTCTTCATTTTATTTTAATTATCTTAAAATTTATTGCTATTGTATTTTCAATTCTTATTGTTTCTATGCTAATTCTCTACTCTTCTCAAGAAGAATGTCTCTTTATTCTGTAAGTTTTTCAATCTATTCTCTACTTCTTTAGATTGAATGCTTTAATTGTTCAACATTTTATTCTAATTATTCTTAAGTCAACTATTATTGTTCATCTTATTTTTCAACTTATTAAATTTATTAATCTATTTCTTCTTCTTAAGATTAAAGAGCTGTTTTATTTTATTCTATTTATTGTTAGAATTCTTCAAATTATTCTTTTTGCTTTTAAATTAAATCACCAAGCAATTATTCATCTTAATCAACTTATTAATCATTTTATTCTACTTAATCTGTTTGTATTTCTACTTCATTTTTATTATTTTAAGTATTAATTTATTCATTTTATTCTAATATATTCTTCTATTATCTTACTTATTCTAATTATTATTATTATTCTAATTATGATTATTATTCTTATTCTAATTATGATTATTATTCTAATTATTATTATTATTCTTACTATTCTTATTATTCTTATTATTATTATTATTCTAATTATTCTTATTCTTCTTTTTATTCTTATTATTATATATTTTATTCTATATTATCTTCTTCTTATTCTTATTAATGAATTTAATGATGATGACACACACATTATAGTGCTTGTTCACCAATCCCATCTTTTGTTATATATATGCTTTTATTTTTACTTTTAAGAATTCTCATAATTTTTTCCAATTGATTTAAGTTTACTTTTTAGTTTAACTCATCATATCCTTTCATAACATGATAAATTAACATTTCTAAATCAGATCTTTTCCTTTAATATTATTGTTCTATAAGTTCCTTCATACTCGTAGGATCTGACAAATCATCAAATTCACTTGGCTATGCAATCTACAATAAATTGCAAAGACTTTCCAAAGGGGCTTTTTATAATAATACTTGATTATCAATATTATTGATAATTTATGCTAAAGTCTGAATACTATCTTAAAAATTTTATGTTTAAGAGACTGGTTCATAGGCTGATGAAGAGGTTGATTAATTAAGAGGAGTTGTATCATTTGTATTTCTGGTGCTTTGATTGCAATCATACAACATAACAGGTGAATTTTAACTACACTAATTTTGATTTTAAATTTATTCAGGTTCTAATTCTTTTTCTTCATTCTTGTTTTCTGTCTATTAAGTTTATGTATTTTTAGATTCATCAACTTATTATTCCTCTTTATCTGAATTATCATCCTTATGAGTTTCTTGATCCATTTTTGAAAAAAATAATTTATTAAAAATATATATATGATTATTCGATTTCTATTATTTAAATTGCCAAAAAATTTATATTAATATTTTAAAAGATTTATATGCTTGTTTCTCTTTAAAGTTTGAAGAAAAATATTTATAATATACATTTTGGTTAATATATACAAAAAATCTTGTATTTTCAAATTAATCTATTAATTATTATATTCACTTAATACTTATTTATTGTTTATTTATAAATAGTTATTTCAAAGATAATAGAATTAAAGAAATTAATATTATATTAAGATTAAAATAGTGAATTTAGGAGGTAATTAATTTTTAAATATATTCTTTTTTTTTTTGATTTTTAACAGAAACCATATAATTGAAATCTTCATTATTCAAAGAAATTTTAATTATTTACGTAATAATTGATTCATTATTGAGTAAAAATAATACTTAAAAATAAAAATATTTATTAATACTATATCATCACTATTATTGCAATAGTAATTTATTTTTATTAAATTAAATTAACTATTTTTATAAAATATCATTAATAGATTAATTAAAATTTATTAATAGTTAAATTTCTTTATGACTAAACTAATTATATCTTTAAAGGACTCTTTAAAATAAGATGAAACTATAAGCATTTAAAATAGATTAAATATACTTATTCTTAAAGATGAAAATGCTTAGATATTGCAACCTATTATGTTTGGAAATAGATATCTTAAGAGATGTTGAGTAATATTTTGGATAAAATTTATTGTAATAAAAATTAAAGGAATACATAGAAGCTGTTACTATTTTGGAAGTATTAGAGATTAATATGTTTTATTATAAAACATATATATAAAAGTAATTAAATTTTTGAATACTATATATATATGTTTAATAATCATAAGAGCAATCCTTTTAATTTTGAAAATAAAGCAGACCATTTGTTATTATCTAAAAATATTTATGTTAAATTGTAATGATTATGACCATTTTAATAAAGAATTGAAATATCTTTACTATGCCGTTCTGAAATAATAATAACATTAATTCTTCTAATATGGACCGAATTAATTATCTTTTTTATATTTATTTTTAATTTAATACTTTATAATTATTGAGAAATGTTTTATTCATTAAAATTAATATCCAACTCTTAATGAGTATTATTATTCCATTTATAATTAATAAATTTCAATATATTTTGTAGTTTTTAATCTTCTAATTAAATACTTTCTTATAATTCTACTTCATTTGTTTACATTAGTATGAGTCTAATTTTGAAATCTTAATTTAAATTATGAGCTCTGAATAAATATAATTAGATAATTACATAAGTGTGGCAAATTTATGAGCAAAAAAGAGCATTTCGCCTAAGGCAACAATATTAATGGACTTAGTTTGATTTAAGAAATAAGGTTAAACAAATTAATAAATTCTATTTATGTATATGAACTAATCATCTTATTGGTCTTTGTTTTCTATAATTTGAATAACTTCAGTGTATGGAGTTGAAAATACAAAAATAGTGCTTTCCAATTATTTTGCTAATTCAGGTAATTATATGGATTAATAAAAATAATTGAAGGAATTCCCTAATGGTGGAAATATAATATAAATATTTTTGTATGAGTATGTATGAATTTCAACTTAAAATAATTATTCAACTCTAAGTAGAGTCCCTAAATCAATTACAGTATAATTAATTTAATCTATTTAAGTATTATTGGTGTTTACACAAATATTATTAATAGAAACACAATCTTTTGTACATATATTTTATTTTAATTTGAAAGGAGATTAACATTGAAGACATCTTGATTCATATTCATGATAACAAGAAATACAATTCTAAGTACATTACAAACATGTAAATTTTGTGGAATCAAAAGATGTATTAAATGGACATTATAATTTATTTTAATCTTAGGGATTTTGATATGGCAAAAGTTATGTCTATTAAATTTCTTGAGATTAATTGTCAATCCAATTATAAAATATTAAGATTGAAATTGCTAGAAATATCAACAGAATAAAAATGTGTATAAATTATCCATGAGTATTTTTGTTAACCTTTTATTTGTTTCTAATTTTTGATTTAATAGGATAAAATTCATTATGATTATTGATCTCATCTTCTTCATCACCTTCAATCATTGTTATATTAATAATTTAATGAAATTATTAAAAGCTATAGATTTATATGGTAAAGTACCAAAAGGATTAGCAGAGCCTACAAGTTCAGGAGCTGTTGTTTCAATTATAACATTGATTTTCTTAGGATTAATGATCATGAATGAAATGATTGTATTGAATAATTACTATTATTTATATAGGAGTATATTACTATAGATGTTCAATCAGAAATAATTGTAGATCAATAATTGTCAAAAGATAGAGTTTAAGTGAGTTTTGACATTAAATTTGTAAGGGCTCCATGTGACTTTTTAGAAATTGATCAATAGGATGCAATGGGATAAAGTTTATCATAATAATTTATGGAATTAAAATATTATAGGTTGGATTCAAGTGAAACAAGAATTGGAGAATATGTAAATATCAAAATTGAAATAATAGATCAGAAATTAAAATAATTGGATTGTGATTGAAGATGCTAGAACAGCTGTTGCTGAAAAATAAGGATGTGAAGTAGTTGGAAGTCTTAAGGTTAATAGAGTTAGAGGAAAGATATCATTTGGACCTCATCGATCTCATTCTTATATTGGTGCAGTTGGCAATCTACATCTTCCATTAGATTATTCTCATAAATTTGTATCATTTACTTTTGGAGATCAAAATGCTCTCAAAAAAGTCAAGAGTATGTTTAAGCAAGGTTAATTAGAGAGTTTGGCTGGTACTCAAAGAATTAAAAAATATGAATTGGCTAGTTAATCAGTATTCATAAATTAAACATTTTTAGATGTAACATGAACACTTTATTAACATCATTCCAACTCATTATACTTTGTTAAATAAACAAACATATTCTGTCTATTAGTATACAGCTAATCATAATGAAGTGAGATCACATAATTATGCAAATGTTCAATTAAGGTATAAATCTTTATTATTCAGATATGACTTTGCTCCTACAACTGTTACTTATTGGTAAACTAAAGAAGACATTTTGCATTTCTTAGTCCAAATATGTGCTGTGATTGGAGGTATATTCACTGTATCAAGCATGATTGAGGCTAGTGTATATAAAGTTATGAGGAATGTATTAAAAGTTGAGTGAAATTTTTTTAAATGAAATTTAATATCATTAATATAAATTTTTAGTCAGAAATAAATACATTATTGTAAATCAAAATTAAAATTTGAATTTTTAATTAATATAGATAAAGTTATTGCTATTATCATATCTTATTTTCTTAAAATATTCAATCAACTTTAATCTTAAATTATTATTATTTTAAATAAAAGAATATAATTATCAAATAACAATTACACTTATGTTAATTAATTAATGAAATATTTTATAGATGCTATTTTAATTTAATAAATATCTAATTAAGATTCTAGTTATTCAAATTCAAATTAGTTATTTTTTAAATGAATCAATAATTTTCTTATAGCCAATATCTCAAAATGTTTGATTGATTCTTCAACCTAAAATTTAAGGCTTAATCAGTAATTATGTTTAATTATTAGTATTTAATTATATATATTTACTAAAAAGTAAAATTCTAGTTAAAATAATAAGTTTTCTTATTACTTTAAAAGTAGAATACTATATGATAGATCAATTAATAATATTAATATATTTAATATTATATATTATTTCAACTTTCAACTTTTGTTTCCAACTTTTCTTTTGTATTCTATTATTTTTCAGTCGTTTATTATACTTAATTTTATTTTAAGGCTTGGGCTTCTTTCTCTATTTATAATTTATTAGTATCTAAATAATATTTAATATCCTCAACAATAGATTTAAATTTAAGGAATTAAGGGGTTTGATATTTATTAATAGTGTCTATTTATGACATTTATTATTCCAAGAAAGTGAACTTGGTACAATTAAAAATTGGATATAATCTAAGTCGATGTAATTCCTTTTATTCATAAACTTAGACAATCATTTCATAAACAATTTTTGCTTCAGATACTTCTTAAGGTTAGAGATCTAAATTGAAACATTGATAGAAATCTTCCAAATTAACTTATTCTGTATTTAATTTAACAGGATTATATCCCTTCTTAATTAATTCTTCATTTAATAAATTATGAATGTAAGTATCATTTTCTATATATGTCTTAAATCTGTTATTTAAGGTAAATTATATTTTATCAGCTGTTTTCTTTNACAGCTAATCATAATGAAGTGAGATCACATAATTATGCAAATGTTCAATTAAGGTATAAATCTTTATTATTCAGATATGACTTTGCTCCTACAACTGTTACTTATTGGTAAACTAAAGAAGACATTTTGCATTTCTTAGTCCAAATATGTGCTGTGATTGGAGGTATATTCACTGTATCAAGCATGATTGAGGCTAGTGTATATAAAGTTATGAGGAATGTATTAAAAGTTGAGTGAAATTTTTTTAAATGAAATTTAATATCATTAATATAAATTTTTAGTCAGAAATAAATACATTATTGTAAATCAAAATTAAAATTTGAATTTTTAATTAATATAGATAAAGTTATTGCTATTATCATATCTTATTTTCTTAAAATATTCAATCAACTTTAATCTTAAATTATTATTATTTTAAATAAAAGAATATAATTATCAAATAACAATTACACTTATGTTAATTAATTAATGAAATATTTTATAGATGCTATTTTAATTTAATAAATATCTAATTAAGATTCTAGTTATTCAAATTCAAATTAGTTATTTTTTAAATGAATCAATAATTTTCTTATAGCCAATATCTCAAAATGTTTGATTGATTCTTCAACCTAAAATTTAAGGCTTAATCAGTAATTATGTTTAATTATTAGTATTTAATTATATATATTTACTAAAAAGTAAAATTCTAGTTAAAATAATAAGTTTTCTTATTACTTTAAAAGTAGAATACTATATGATAGATCAATTAATAATATTAATATATTTAATATTATATATTATTTCAACTTTCAACTTTTGTTTCCAACTTTTCTTTTGTATTCTATTATTTTTCAGTCGTTTATTATACTTAATTTTATTTTAAGGCTTGGGCTTCTTTCTCTATTTATAATTTATTAGTATCTAAATAATATTTAATATCCTCAACAATAGATTTAAATTTAAGGAATTAAGGGGTTTGATATTTATTAATAGTGTCTATTTATGACATTTATTATTCCAAGAAAGTGAACTTGGTACAATTAAAAATTGGATATAATCTAAGTCGATGTAATTCCTTTTATTCATAAACTTAGACAATCATTTCATAAACAATTTTTGCTTCAGATACTTCTTAAGGTTAGAGATCTAAATTGAAACATTGATAGAAATCTTCCAAATTAACTTATTCTGTATTTAATTTAACAGGATTATATCCCTTCTTAATTAATTCTTCATTTAATAAATTATGAATGTAAGTATCATTTTCTATATATGTCTTAAATCTGTTATTTAAGGTAAATTATATTTTATCAGCTGTTTTCTTTTCAAATTTAACAGTCAAACAATAGAAAATTTCAGGATAAGATTCTTATCTAGATAATAATAATTAAAATATTCTTTTAATGAATCTTCTTGAATGTACTTAAGTACAGAATTTTTCATTTTATGTTTTTGGTCTTCTTTTTTTAATAATTTTTCTTACAATACGTATCATTTAATTTTTTTTACGATTCATTTTACCTGTTGCATAAGTTTCTTGTTCTTTCTTTTCATCTAGATATTTCTTAATTCTATTTAAATTTAAGAATGTTTATGCTATAGGTAATTGTTATTCTTCATAATCCTTTTTATTATTTTTCCATGTTTCAAGTGGAACTTTTTTTAATTATTCTTATCCTTTTTATATAAATTCCTTTAAATTTTAATCTTAAAATAATTTTTCAAGTTTTTCTTTAACTTTTTCTCTTTAATTGTATATAATCTTAGTCATTTAACATATATTAGATGGTTATGATTTTTAGAGATAATGTTTGTATTTGTTTTCAAAATTTTAAGTAATTGAATTAAGTTAATTAAGTGAATAAGTTTAATTTAAGATATCATTTAGATGAGTATCTCTAATTATCATATCTAATTCTTTAATATTTAATAGTTATTTAATAAGTGGTTTTGTAGCTTCAATTGAAATAGTATCTTCAGAATTCAAAACTCTTACAAACTATAAATATTATAGAAATGAAATAATTGGCAAATCAAAATCTATAGCATAACATAGAATAATTTTGGTAGCTATATCTCTTACTTATTTGTATTTAATTTCAGTTTGTATTGAAATATGATGAGTTTGATCTAATGAATCATCATCTGAGTTATCCTCTAAACAAAAGGTTTCTAATTTTTTCATGTTTAATTAATTGAATAAAATAAGAGATCGATGTTGAAAGGGTAGAAATTCATTTTAATATTTGGAAGTGAATAATTTTTGATTATTTATAATAAATATTATATAATTATTATATACGTGTAATAAATATGTTTGTCAAATTTGAGAGACATTCAGATCGTGTAAAAAGTGTATCTTTCCATCCTCATCGTCCTTGGGTGTTAAGTGCACTTCATTCAGGTGTAATAGAACTAATTGATTATCGGATGAAAAAGCGTATAGCAACATATGAGGATCACAAAGGTGCAGTTCGATCAGTTTAATTCCATCCATAATTGAATTTATTTTGTTCTGGAGGAGATGATTATACAGTAAGAGTATGGAATTTTAAATAATGTCAATTTGTATTGAAGGGACATTTAGATTATGTAAGATGTGTTACATTCCATCCAATTAATCCTTGGGTATTATCTGGATCTGATGATTAAACAGCTAGAGTATGGAATTATTAAAGCAGATAAACTATTGCTATATTAACAGGACATACACATTATATAATGTCATGTCATTTCCATCCAACTTAAGATTTCATAGTGACTTGTTCATTAGATTAAACAGCAAGATTATGGAATTATGGAGTACTTAAATAAAGATATGCATAAAAGAAGAATTAAGAATATGTACTTTCTGGTGCTGAAGTATAAGTAATAGCAATTATGGATGGACATAAAGATTAATTAAATTGGTGTGCTTTTCATAAATCTGAACCATTTATTATAACAAGTAGTGATGATAAAAATATTAAATTATGGAAATATAATGAAAATAAAGCATGGGAATTTGATTCATTTACAGGACACACTAATAATGTTTGTTGTGCTGAATTTCATTCAAAAGGAGATGTCATTATTTCAGATTCTGAAGATCATACTATTAGAATATGGGATTTTACTACTAGAAAATAAATTGCACTTTATGAAAATTAACATTATGATAGATATTGGATAGTAACTTGTCATCCTAATAATTATTATTTTGCTTGTGGTTCTGATACTATGCTACAAGTATTTACATTACATAAAGATCGAATACCTGTTCTATTAGTAAATGAAAGATATTTATGTATGGCTGAATAAAAAATACTTAAAGTAATTGAATTGAATTCTGGATAATAATAAATTATAAGAGATATTTCTACTCTCATTATTCCAACTCCAACTATTCTTGAAGATAATATAGAATCAATTGAATACAATACATATGATACTTAAAAAACATAATTAATGGTTAGATGTATAAGATCTCTTAAAGAACCAAATAAATTAAAGAGACATTTACTTATTGCATTTTAACCTTAAAAAGGTGATTCTGGAGTTAAATAATTCCATTCTAAATCAGCTTGTTTTATTGGAAAAAATAAAATTGCTCGTATTAATTAGGAATCAAAAATTGAATTATATAATTATGAAACTGATGCAATCTCTTTAATTGATGATAAATAGGCTTCAAAAATATTCACTGCACCTGGAGGCAAACTCTTAATTTATAGAGAAAATATAAATGAAAATAAAATGTAAAATCTATCAGAAAATAGTTATTTAGAATTATTTGATCCACTTGCAAAATAAGGTTTACATTAAATTGAATATTCTAAAGCTAAATATGTTCAATATCATGATTCCTATTTAATTGTATAAGGGAAATTATCATTAACTATTCTTACAAAATAACTTTAAAAATTAATTGAAATTCAAGAATAAATTAATATTAAATCATTTATTTGGGTTAATAACTTTATAATCTATACAACAAAAAGCTAAATTAAATATTTATTATTAAATGGTGACACAGGAGTATTAAAATCTACTGAAAATATTCTTTATTTAGTGAAAGGAGAAGAATAATAGTAAAATAAATTAAAATTAATAGCAGTTGATAATACTGCATAATATATAACATAAGTATTGGATATTCAAGAACCATTATTTAAAATTGCTATTTTAAATAAGGATCTTAATGCAATTCATAAATTTGTTGAGAATAATTAAAATGAAGCTGTACTCTCTTACTTATATTAAAAAAGATTAGCATCTGTAGCTTTAAAATTAGTCAAAGATAAATGGGGTAATCAAATATTATATTATTATTAGCTAAATTTTCATTATCTTTAGATTCTGGTAATTTGGAGTAAGCATATAAAGCTGCTATAGAAATCAAAGATACTAATTTATTTGAATAATTAAGATCAGAAGCTCTAAGATAAGGTAATAATTTATTGGTTGATGTATGTGACTAATAACTTAATTAATTTGATAGATTGGCTTTTTTATATTTGTGTACTGGTAATATTGAAAAATAAGAAAAATTATAAAACATATAACCTAATTACATATATTAATCCTAAATTTAGAAATAAAAATCAATTAAATAAAATCTACCAAAATTAGGTTAAATTATAGATCATCTTAATGGAAATAATTAAAAATTAGATAAGAATCAATAAGAAACAATTGAATGGATAAAATCACTTGGTGGAAGTCAAACATTAATACCACCAATTCCAATAATGAAATATAAAAATGAATCATGGCCATTGTATTAAATGAATGAGTAAGATATAATCAATCTTGAAGTAACTGAAGAATCAATAGCACCATAAGATATATTCACAATATAAAAATAAGTAATAGAAGAAACACAAATAGAAGAATAAATTAATAATGATGGTTAATGGGGATTAGAAGATGAACCAGAAGAAGAATTCTTTGAACCTAAAGTAATATAGGAAAAGGATAAAAATATTGATTAGAATGCATTAAGGGGAGTATTCTTAGAATAAAAAGGAGAAGTAGCTATTAAATATTTTGCTGCTGGCGATTATGAAACAGGGATTAAGTTATTAAAACAATAAATAAATCTTAATAATTAATAATAATTATTGAAATTATTAACAGGAGTAACATCTTTTTAAGTTGTAACTTAAATTCCATATTTGAATACTTCAACTTTACCAGTTAAATTAAATAGATTGAATGAAATTAAGACTCTTATCAAATAAGGTATATATAGCATTATTTTATTATAGGTTATAAATATACAACAGATGCTAAATTTGGAGAAGTTAGCAATTGTTTCTAATAGGTTTTACAGAAACTATTACTAACAGATTTTGAATCAAATCAAGTAGAGGAAATCAAAAAGTATATTAATATTAGTAGAAATTATATGATTGCAATGAGATGTGATTCTCTAAAAAAAGAAAGTAATGCTTTAGAAATGGCTTGTAAGATGGCTACAATAGAATTACAACCTTCTCATAGAATCTTAACATTAAGATAAGCCCTTAGTATAAGTTATAAATAAAAGAATTTTATCACATGTTAATAAATTGCTAAAAAACTTATTGAATTATTGAAAAATGATACTACTCAAAAACCTGAAGTACTATAAAATGCATAAAAAGTAAGAATAATTATTAATAATTAGTATGAGAAAGCATCTTAATAATAAAATACAAATGCAATATAAATAGATTTCAATGAAAATTGGCTTAATGAATAGCCAATCTATTCTGTAGATACACTTAAAAATCTATAAAATTATAAATCATGTCCATATGATGGAAGTTCATATGAAAATGATTATTCATCGCTTTGTTTGATTTGTGGATTGTGTATAGTTGGTAAGGCTCCTGGTTTAAAGAGTCTTCAATAACCTTGAGTAGATTTAACAAGAGATCTGTAAATTATTATGCTTCATTTTTATAAGATAATTTATTTTTTTATTTTAATATTATTATTTTACAATTAATAATAAAATATTTTTTTAATATTTATTAAATCTTTGGAAATTTAATATTGTGTTGTTTTCATATTTGGTTTCTATATCAAAAAGAGAATACGTAATTAATTAGATATTTTGAAAGATTAATAAAAAATTGAAGTAAAAATAAAACATCATCTTTAATCTCCTTAAATATTCTTTATAGACCAAAGCTTTAATATTTTCAGCAAAATATAGATCATCAATAATATCTTTAAAATTGAAGATTATTCAATTTAATTATTAAATGATAGAAATACAATATTATAATTAACTATTAGAAATTAAAGAAAGCTAAATTATTAAAATTATACATCATAAACTATTTTTTTTGCTCATAATCTTTAATAAACTTTTTAATTCAAAATCGTGATTAATTAAACCTTAATACTCTTAATGGATTAGAATTAAAATTAAAAGCTATAATTCGATCATTAGAATAAAAGTTCAAAATTTTAACTCATATGAATCAAGAAGATTTAAATAAATAAAGATATTTATTATATTTTATAATAATATTTATTAAACAGAAACAGTCTAATTTTTTATTTTTGAAATAGTGAATTATGAAATAAAAAATATAGGATATAAAATAATATATAATTTATCGTTAATCTAGAGGTACATTCAAAACCATTAAAGTATTGCTTTGTTAATAGTTTTAATTTTGATTATTTATTAATCATAAAACTATTTATTGCTTATGTTTTTGAGATAATAAAGTTTTTGTAACATTATTTATATGAAATATTCTAAATAAAAAAATATATCTTATTAATGATTTTGATTCGGTTGTTTATTTTGGATGGGATACACTTATATAATCCTTCAATATTTAAAGTCTTTGTTAATTTACATTGTTAATTTTAACTTAGGGTTTGATATAAGTTATTGTTGAATTATTTAAAGTATTGTAAATTCATCATTTCCATAAAATCAAATTAGGGATATTATACTTTAGATAAATAATATAAGAAATTCCAAATTCAAGATTTGAGATATATATATTTATTTTAATATATAAAATGATTAGTTCAATTGTGTTTATAAATCATAAGGGAGAAATCCTTATTTATAGAGTCTATAAGGATGATATAACAAGAAGTGAGACTACACAATTTTGTGCTAAAATAGTGGCCACCAAAGAAAATAAAGAATGTCCAATAATCAATATTGATGGTAAAAAATAATATTTAAAATTATAGGAACATCATTTATCCATATTACTATTAAAGACATTGTAGTGTTAGCCACAACAAAAGTAAATGTAAATGTAGCTATGACCTTACAATTTCTTTATTAATTAGTACGAATACTATATTAAATTTAGGTTAAAGTGTGCAGAGCTTATTTTGGTGGAGAATTTGATGAAAATTGTATTAAAAAGCATTTTGTGCTTATTTATGAAATTCTGGATGAAGTAATGGATTATGGTGTACCTTAAATAGCTGATGCAGATCTTTTGAAAAAAGTATCATACTTAATACTAATGTTTAATAGTATATTTAAGAAGGAGGACTTAAGCCAGAGTTGATGAATGATGTAGAAAAGTTGAAATAATTAACATCTTAAGCAACAGGAGCTACTTCATGGAGGCCACCAAATCTTGTATATAGAAAGAATGAAGTTTATTTAGATGTCATAGAGAGTGTGAATGTGTTGATGTCAGTAAAAGGAACAATCTTGAAGGCAGATGTGGCTGGATCAATATAAGTAAAATGTTTATTATCTGGAATGCCTGAATGCAAATTTGGAATGAATGATAAATTACTAATGTAGAGAGAACCTCGTAAACCTGGTCAAACAACAACAGATAAAGGTATTACAATTGATGATCTTAAATTTCATTAATGTGTTAAATTACCTAAATTTGATAAGGAAAGAGCAATTACATTTATTCCACCTGATGGTTAATTTGAATTGATGACTTATAGGATTACTGAGAATATTAATTTACCATTCAAAATTATGCCTGTATATAATGAATTAGGTAAAAACAAATTGGAAATTCGAGTCAAAGTATTAAATTTTTTATTAATATTTTAAGATTAAATCAATATTTGAGAAGAATCTATTTGCTACAAATTTAGCAATAAAAATTCCAGTGCCTAAAAATACAGCAAATGTTAATACTAATTCAGCAATAGGAAAAGCAAAACATGAACCAGATTAATAAGGAGTTATATGGAGAATAAAGAAATATCCTGGAGATTTTGAAGCTTTATTACGTTGTGAAATTGATTTAGGTTAAACAACAAATTAATAACCTTGGATTAAACCACCTATTTCAATGGAATTTTAAGTTCCTATGTTTACAGCAAGTGGATTAAGAGTAAGATTTTTAAGAATTTATGAAAAAGCTGGATATAAACCAACAAAATGGATTAGATATATCACAAAAGCTGGTGAATATTTGCATAGATTATGATAATAAAATAATCCAAAATATATTTATCAATTATCATTATATGTCTTATATCTTATGTTACGAGCCTTACTTTAATATTTCAAAGTTTGATAAGATTAATAAATTTTATGAGCTTGTTTGATATTTGGAGTATGTGGTCTTTACTTAATCTGTAACTGTTTTTTAGGTTCTGCTAATCTATCTTATTATTTAGATGAACAAGCACTGCTAATCCTTAAAGGACCTGTCTTTTAATAGTTTCTTAGTTATCTTTAAAATTAAATGTCTACATTGTCCCACCAATAACATGGATTACATTATCCACCATCATTTACTATTACAAAATAATCTCTCCCAGTTCCATCCCCCCAATACTTTGTAGTTTTTATAGGTATCTAAGGAGGTAGATTACCAGAACGTCCTAAGTTACTATTTGATTTTGTAAGGTAATGCATTTTTTCAAAGTCATGATTAGCTTATGGAGCTAATTGAGATTACAAAGTCTGATTCATCTATCCACCATTAAACTTGCTTATGTAAGAATCCCTGTGATCAGTTATTTTAAATACCTTCCTGTACCATCATTATGATAATTATTCACTTTAGGTTATAATCGACAATATACTTAGCGAGCTGCCATTATAATAATTAATTAATCATTTCTACAATTCTCTTAATAAATGTGCTAAATAGATCAATGGATTAAATTCTAAGGCTTCTCTTTGTTACTTCATTTACTGTTTCAAATGCTATAATTCTTGTTTTTCTGTGGCTTCTTCCTCATCATCTTGATCTTCTTGAATTTGATTTAATGCAAGATTTATTTCTTTTTTTATATCTTATGGACTTAAATCATCTATTGAGATTCCAATAGGACCTTATAATTAGTTGTTTATAGGAAATATAGATTCATCATTTTTAATGAGTTATTAACTCATACCTATAAATTCATCATTCTCTGCAGAACCCTAAGATGAAGATTCATAGGCAGATCCTAATTCATTTTTCAATCTTTGTTTCTCTACTTTCTTCTATTCAATACGGTCAAATATTTTTATTTTCTTCAATCTTTCTTAATGTTTTCTCACTTCCTCTGTCTTTACTACATGATCTATTAATTAAACTAAAGCAGTATGTAATTTAGGATAGACTTAATTCTATAAGTATTCTATTTCTTTCATTGTAACAATTGAATTTTATAACTACATTAATTAATCTCATTATTATTGATAATCATTATACTAATTATATATATTAAATAAATTAAATTTTACATTATATTAAACTATCTTAAATATTTAAAATAAATTGACAATGTATGTTAGTTCATCTAGAATATCGTTTTTATTTTTTAAATTATAAATAATGAAATATTCTTTGATAGCCTGTCTTTTCTTTTGTGTTTTAAATGTTGAGATCACACTTAATAATGCAATAACAACATAAGCATTAGAAAAATTGAAAGAATCTTCATGGGCTTCATTTATTGTTGAATTTGCTGAAGTTTAGTTATCAACAGGAGGAGCCTTGTCTGAATTAGTAGAAACTATTAATCAACTTATCAGTTAATTGGAAGAAGAACAACAAGATATACATAATAAATATTCAAGAAGAACTGATGAACATAATCGTGATGTGACTAGAATAGAATAAGAAATCTAAGATGCTGCTAAAGGTAATAATAATATATTTATAATAAAATATAGATATCTTTACTGGATAAGATTTCATTGATAATGTACTTATTCCATAGAAGGAAAGATTTCAATAATCTTTAATTTAATTGAAAATAAATATTGAAGAAAATAGGAGAGTATTGAATGGGGAAATTGTGAATAGAAAGAAATAACATGAATAATTCTTATCTAATATTGCTGAAATAAATGAAGCTATTGGTGCAGTAGATGAATCACTAGGATTATTATCTTAGATATCTAACCCATAACTTGTTTAATACAAGAGAGTATAGACAAATCTTGGTAGAATTCAGTCATCATTCTAAAATCGATAATCTTTTGCTCCAATGATTAAAGCTTTACTTGAATTAGCCACTGAATAAAATTTCACTGATTAAGGTTCAGTATAATAAGTAATTATTAAAATAATTTTATCCAATTTTAGCTTGTCAAAATTTTTAATGAATTAAGAATTCAATTTGTTGATTCTCTTAATTAAGAAACTTTAAATGAAAGTTAAGCAGAGACTAAATATACTGAAAGAATTGCTTAATTAGAAAAAGAATTTGCAGAATTTTAAAGATCAGTATTAATAAAAAATTCTGAATTGGTTGCAAATGAATGTATATTCTATTTAAAAAATTTAGAAAAACTTGGAGAAACAATTGTCTATGTAGGATAAAGAAAAGATGATAAAGAAACTCTTGAAGCATAATTGTAAGCAGAAAATGATAATTATGCTGCAGAGACAGATTTATACATAAGAACTATAAGTGAATATAATAAAGAAATTGAAATTAGTAAATAAGCCTATGGTCTACTTACTTAACCAAGTTTCGAATCTTATGTTAGATCAAAAGTTGGAATTTGATTAAAAAATACAGATAAATATATATATATATATATTTTAATTCAAAGAAGATATTTCATCAAATCTTTTGCAGCCATAGCAATAGATTTGTCATCTTTTTGATATTTTTCCAAAACTTATACTAAGATATCTTTCTTTTCTATTTTAAATGGTTTTTATTCATTTAATACAACCATCCAATGTAATAATTTAATGATTCTCTTATTTAATTAAGGACATAGTAATGGGATTAATTAATTAAATAATTACTACCTTATTTATGATAGTTTTCCTGGATAAAAATATGTCAAATGTAACATATATGTTAACAAAGTTAATTGACATCCTGGTGTTGATATGTTTATTAATTGTTAAGCATATTAAAGAGTGAAATAAAATTGATCTTAAAAAAATAAGAATTCTTATGGGAAAGGTTAAGGAATCAAAGTATTATCTGGACTAACAACTATTTTATTATTTCCTCGTTATAATTCAGTAATAATTTTGCTTGTTATTGCTACCATAATAGAAGATAAATCTTCAAATGCCCATTCTTACTTTTATTTTGTAAATTAGACAAATATTTAAACTGATTTATCTAAAATTTAATATTTATATTATACCTATAATTTAAAATTGCTTAAGATCTTCAATTGAACTACCCTCAACAATCTTTTGAATAATATTCAAAGTATGACCTGTGATATTATTACTATCAGGCTTATACATATCCAATATAGCTTATAAGACTTCATATCTTTTAAAATGAGGAAGAAAGAGCGAATTGTAAGTTAGGAGAATTGATGCTAATTTTAGTGCATAAAATGGTAAAGGAGGTTATTCTTGGAATAATTCTTTTAATAATGGTAGGATTAATGTAATGATAATATTATTCAATTCATTAGAATAAGGTTTTAAGAAATTAGGATAATCATATATTCCTTCTTCCTATAATAAAGCACTTAATAAATCTATAATCAATTTCAAAAACATAAATTTAGTTTCTGTACTTTATTATTTAATCATATAATCAATACAATTTTTAAGGACTTATTAAATAATTACTTATTATTATTTTATTAAAATTTTAGAATTAGTACACATTTTAGACATAATATTTAATAATGTAGTTTGAATTTATGTTTTATTTTTAGATAATGATAATAATTCTGTAAGTATTGGTAAATATTAAGATGAGAATAATGATTGTTATAAAACAGGTGTTTATGAGTATTAGAATAAAACATTTAAATAATTGCCATTAGTTTTCTTTGGAGAGTATTCCATTAATTATGAATCAGTCAATGATTAATTAATTTATGTGATCATAATAGGAGTACAATCACATAATTATTATACTAAATGTTACAAGCATTATTTTAAATAATCATTATTATCTCTAAGTCCTTTATCTAATATTTAATAAAATCTTAATTATTCTTCTGATAGATTAATAAGTGTAACTATATTAAATTTAATCATCAACATTAATGCAATAGCTGCCTTTCCTCTACTCACAGCATTACCATGATCCAATAAATATACTAAACCTTTTATTAATTAAGCTAATTTTTAATAAGAAATCTTATCATACATTCTTCCATTAATAATTTATTGACAGCATTTGAAGCCAATTAAGATACATTATTGCTTGATGAATCTTATGTGCTTACACTTTGTAAAAGATGAATATTGAATATTGTAATCATAGCTTATTACACTCTTTGTAAATTATCTAAAAATATCTAGATTTATTAAAATGATAATATATACTGATACTAAATTTTTTAATCCAAGATTTTACATAAATACATCAACTTATTAATTATCCAACATTAATAAATTAGCTAAAGTAATTGCACAACTTATTCTTAAACTATCATTTTTAGTAGTTAAAAAACATTGGAGAGTCATTAAAACTATTTCTGATTTAGCAAATCTTTGTCCTATTGATATTGATTAAGATGAAATGTTTTCAATTGTTTTTATACAATAAAATTTCACTAATTTATTTATATTAATTTAATACCAATTTCATCTTCATTCTAAGATTTAATAATCTTAATTAATTAATTGAAACTAAGATTACTCATCTTCCAATAAGGATTTTAAGGATCTTCTTCCATTTAAGTTGCTCCATAAAATAAATATTCTCCTAAAGCTGCTGCTGCCTTTCTTCTAACATTATTTTATTCTTTAGAATTTAATATTTCCACCATAGCCTCTGGTATTCCATGTTATGAAACTTCAGGTTCAATAACAGTAGCATGTCGAAGCAATAATCCTAAAACACAACAAATTCTGTATTTTAATTATGTTAATTTACTAACTGTTAGTAATTTTAATAATAATTAAACATATGCAGAATTGATTAAACGATTAGCTGCATTAGATGTCTATATAATTTATTCAAAATAATTTAAAATATTTAATTACTCCTATTATTTTCCTATTTATAATGAATTGTATATTTATTCAAAGTGATATTCTATTTAATCAGTATCAATATTTCGATTAACATCATCTGAATTTATATATTAAAAAGGTAATGATTCCTTAGTAAATGTAGCATCAATTGATTTTTCAATTTCTCTATTTCCAATAATAGGTTTGACTGAATTATCAGAACTATGAGTGAATAATTAATCAATAGGAATCAATTAATCATTTTCATTTCCCTTCTTTTATTGAGGTGTAATTCCTCCTGGAATAGGTGATTAATTAAGAAGACTTTAAGTAGATGGATGCACTGAATCTTTTTTAATAGTAAATGGTTTCTATTGTAAATGAGGTGAATTAATAGAATTCAAATCTGATTATACATTAGTTTAGAATTCTTCAGGTTATTTATCAATTTCTTCATCCTCTTATTATTATTCTGATCCTATCAATATTTCTTAATCTTTATTTGTTAATTTGAAATCCTTCTCATTACTGCTAATCTATTTATGATATTATTATTATTAAGAACTACTAGGTACATCTTCTCTTAACATATTTTTATGAACATTCAAAGATAATCTTACAATATCAACTTATTTATTATTCTATTGAACAGGAGTTACTCTAACTAAATTGTTTTTTTTGCACCATGTTTCAAAATGTGGTTGAGATGGTACATTCAAATATTAAATATTTAAAAATCTACAGATTTTTTCCCAACCCCATCTTTTTAAAGGATCTTTCTCTAATAATCTAAGATTAAATTATAAACTAATACCCTTTAATAAAGTCCCAACATTAGATTTCTAATGGTTTTACTTCTGCATTCAAAATTAATTCAACTAATTCAGTAAAGCTACTACATTAGAATGGAGGTTATCCAATACATAATTCATATGCAATACATCCCAAAGCCCATAAATCACTTTAAAAACTATATACTCCACCTTCATGAAATAATTCTGGTGCCATATAATAAGGTGATCCTCTTTTAGACATTTCTACATCTGGACCTATAGTAGCTGATATCATATCCACCAAACGTTTTGCATTTCCTAAATCACTTAATTTTGCTACTCCATATTCATTAAATAAAACATTAGATGGTCTCAAATCACAATAAACTATAATTAAATTCAAATGACTCACTTATGCCCTTAGAATGCAAATAATTTAATCCTGCTGCCATATCCCTTACAAATCTTAACACTATGTTTTCTTATAACCCTTATTAATCTGCTTCAATTAGTGCCATTAAATCTCCTCCTGGACAATATTCCAAAATCACCCAAAGATGATTACGTGTTTCATACCAATGATAAAATTTCAAAATATTTGGATGTTTAAGACCAGAGAACATTTTAACCTGAATCATTTAAATTAATTGATACTTCATTCAAAAGTTTTGTACGTCTACCTTTTTCTAATGATTTTACTGCCATATATTCAATTGTCTTCTTCTTTCTTCCCTTATATACAACTGAATACTTTCCTTTTCCTATCTCATCATAAATATGATAGTTATTCATAATTTTTAAATTTTGTTTTATTTTATTTTATGGGCAAGAAGAAATTCATCAACAAATAGAATGCTGCTACACTTAAAATGGTTCATTAACCAGGTGACAATAATCAAGGAGCTACAGACATGATTTGTTTCTAAAAAGTTAATCAACCTGGTGCTCAAAATGATGAATTGTATTCTTATCTTAAAATATTGTAGATCTGAACTTATTGAAAAAGAACTAAACAAAGGTAAATTTGATCCTAATCTTAAACCTCGAATCCCTTAAATTGATCCTACCTAAGAAGCTTTACATTTGGTTGCAGGAAGAGAAGACCTTTGGATTCATCAATTAGCTAAATAAAAGGCTTTATAAGCACTTAAAGAGAAATAAGAATAGTTCTAAGATGTAGTAATGAAACATTATGATGAAAATGGATTACCTTTAGATGGGTATGATTATTCTTAACATCTTGCTCCAGAAAGACGTAATAATTTTATTAATATCATATCTTAGCTTAAGGAGAAGTAGAATGTGTCTTTGTTGTTCCTGAAGAAGAGAGATCAAAGGTAGTCTATGATATTGATTTCAAAAGAGAAGAATTAACAAAAGAATAATAAGAAGTTTATGATTTATTAATGAAAGAAGAAGAAGAAGAAGATGAAAATAATTAAGATAATTAAGAAGAATTAGATGATGATTTTGTTGCAAACTTAATATAATAAAATAAATAGTAATCCTTTTAATAAGAAAATGAGGAGAAAGTAGAAAAGATAGAAAAAGTGGAGAAAGTAGTAGAATCACCAAAAAAATAAGTTAGATTTTAAGATCAAGTAGAATCAGATCATGATGAAGATTATGAAGATGAAGAAGAAATGGAAATTACTTATGATAAAAAATAAATGAATAAAAAATCATAATAATAATAATAATAATAATAAAAATAATAATAATAAAAATAGACTAAATAATAATAAAGTGATTCCGATTCAGAATTAGAAATTGATTCAGATATGGAAAGAGAATTTGAAAGAGAAATGAATGCTTATGAAGCACCTGATGATGAAGATGATGACCAATAAAATAAAGATTTTGTTAATGATTAAATGCTTAATAAAGTTATTGATGATCATTTAAATACTATGACCAAAAAATAATAAAAAAAGTCTAAAAACTAATAAAAATCACAAGATTAACCTGAAGAAACTGAATGTATTATATATATTCCATAAAATATTTTAGAATAAAGAGAAAGAAGACTTGAATATTTAAAAAATACAGATTATAATGAATACTTAAGATAGAAGTTCCCTAATGCAGATTTTTCTTAATTCCATTTAAAAAAGGAAATACCACCACTTACTCCTGAAGAAGATATTGCATTATAGAATTATCTGAATAGAGAATCCAGTGATGAAGAATGTCCTGATATGGAACCAGCAGAAAAATATTAAGAAACTATTGTTACTAAATCTCTTCATAATACTACAATGTCTAAAATGAATCCAGATTAATTGAACATAATTAAATATAAATCAAAAAATTAAGTATCAAATACTAAAGAAGAAAGAATGAAATAAAAAGAAGAAGAAAAAAATAAAATTAAAGAATTAAAATTAGAAAAAGAGAAAGTTAAAGAAGCAGTATGTGGTATATATATTAATTTTATTTTAGAAACTTTGAAATAAGTGGTAATTAAAAAAGAAGAGACTCCTGAAGAAAAGAAACATAGAAAAGAATTAGTGAAATAATTGAAATAAGCTTAAAAAGAGAAAAAAAAGGCATTTAAAGAACAATTATAAACTATGTCAAAAAAATTATAAAAATAAAAATTGGCTAATATTTAAAGTAATTAAGCCGAAGGGATTTCAATTGTTAAAATAGCTTGATTATTTTATTTTTGTTTAATAACATTTTTATTAATATATATTATTAGTAATATTTTAAATATGAATACTGTTATTGAATAAAATAAATTAAAAAACTTAGCCACTTATATTAATGAAGAGGAAAGAAAGTTTCAAAAACATTTAGAAAAAACAGAAAAGACAAATTAAAAAAGAATTGATCTTGAAGAAGAAATACATAAAATATAATTAGAGATTATCAGTATATTATAACAATTCTATTTTGAGAGCAAAACCACATGAAAGAAAATGCAGAGAAACTATAAAAGGATTACCCTTAATTACTTTAAGAAAGATAACATGAACTTATTAATCTCCAGAAAGATTTAGCATTGGCTACTGCAGCTAAAAAAGTAAATTTATTATAAAAAAGTTAGGCAGCTTAATAAGAATTTGATATTTAAATTAAACATCTTTAGTAATAAATTGCTGAATTAAGAAGAGAAAAACAAGATTTGAAAAGAGAAAACTTAGGAAAATAAGAAAAATAAACAGCTTTGAGAAATGACTTATAAAAGTTTGGAAAAGCTTTACAGAGTAGAGAAAAGCCTCCTGTTGAATATAAAATATATAGTTCTTCTGGGGGTTTTGGACCTATTTATTAACCATAAGAACTTATTAATTAACCATAAGAATAATACTAGTAACATATATTTTATTGATTTATTTGATTATTTAAGTTTATTTTAATTATATTTGTCTGATAACTTAATGCAATAAGATCCATATAATTGGCCATTTCCTCATCGTTAAGATCTCATGAGTCTTTCAACAATTAGTATTTAAAATATATAATTAGAAAACTAAAAAAGAGATATCATCTATGAAAATAGATCATAATCAACAATGACAATATAAGGTATTGACGGAGCAGCTCCTAAGTTAAAACCATATTAATATTTAAATAAAGAATAATTTTGTAATCGAGATGATGATATCCCAGGAACTAAATCTAGACCTTTAATCAGATCAAACAATAGATCTGATAATCAATTAATGATTGATGATATCAAAGGAACAAGACCTAAAGTTAATAAATTTTCAACAAATAGAGAACCTGTTAATCCTCTTGAACCTGTCTATAAAATAGCTTCCTATGAATAAGCTGAACAAATTTAACCTAAATTCATTAGAGATAGCTACAATGTATAGGATATTGAAGGAGCACAACCTTCTTCAATAAATCCTAAATTAAAAAAATAGCCTGTAACATTGGAAGATGTAGAAGGTTCGCATCCAAAATAGCGTTTTTTACCTAAGGGTATTAATTTATTAGAAATGAAGATTATGTTGACTCCTTACAAGTTAAAGATATCAATAACGATTTATTACATAAATATGTTCGAAATACCAATCCTATTGAACCTGTTTATAAGCATAGAGACGAAGAAGGGTAAGAAATAAAAATAATAAAATTAGAAATTTAGTGTAAATAGGATTTATAGATGGAAGCAAAACTAAATAACTGCATCCAATTACAATTAATAAGTTTGCTTCTTCAATTCTAACAACGAAAGATATTGTTGGTGCTTAAGCTGGATCACATTCATAACACTTTTTGAGAACAAATGAAAGGAAAGATTATAGATAAATAAATAGTGTATCTGATATAGAAGGAGTAAAACCAGGTTCACTTAAAAAAGGAATAGAAAGTAAGAGATACACAAATCCATTAATGCCTGCATATTAAATGCCAGGAAGTAGTGAAATATAGTAATATTTATTTGGAATAATGATTAGTTCGATGAAGCCTACAAGTGTGTTTTAAAAGAATGCGAGTACATAAATGTTAACAAATGCATAAAAGATGGATCTATTTTTACCTTAAAGTTGATGATTAATTATTATTATTAACTATAATTTTAGATTTTATGAGATTACATCATTTATAAGATTAATTATAAATAGTATATACTTTGTATTTCTATCATAATAATTAATTAAATGAATAATCTCATTAATACTATCGTTGAATCAGATTAAGTTGTGATTTAGACAGTATTCCCAGATTAGTATAAAGCAATAGTTCTAATTGGAAGAGGATCATATGCAAAAGTGTATAAAGCAGAAACAATGGATGGACAATATGTTGCAATAAAAGTATATTTTTTCTTAATTAATATAGGTAATAGATTTAACAGATATGTAAAAAGAAATAATACCTTACATGTAAAATGAAATAAAATTATTATCAGAAAGTGATAATAGAAATGTGATTAAATTGTTTAAAAGTTATTAAACTAAAGATAGATTAATTTTAATTCTTGAAGTACTATTTCATAGTTAATAATTAGTATTGTTCTTTAGATGTTGAAATTTTAGTGAAAAGATATTTTAAAGGTAGATTACCTGACGATTTGGTCATAATTATATTAAGATAATTAGCAAATGGATTATCTTATTTACATATGAATAAAATTATACATAGAGATTTGAAATTAGAAAATTTTGCTATTTAATTAAGTTATGAGGATTAGATGGCTTTGTAGAAGAATGATACCACAGTTTTTTAGAGAGCAACATATAAATTAATTGATTTAGGATTAGCTAAGAAATTGGGAGATCTTTAGGCATAAACAAGTACTTGGGCAGGGACAGAATTAAATATGGGTATTAAATAAAATTATAAATAAAGCACCTGAAATATTAAATGAAGAAAAGTATTCATTTTAAGCTGATATGTACAGTCTTGGTGTCTGTATATATTATATGTTAGTAGGTAAATATCCTTATTTTGATCCAACAAATAGAATTCCACTTTAAGATTTAATTAAAAAAGAGAATGCTGATTTTAGTTAAATTGCAAATCTATAATTAAAAAGTTTAGTATAAAAAATGCTTAAATTTGATCCAAAATAAAGACTTTAATTTTAGGAATTATATCAACATGATTTTTTTAAATATAGAGAAGGAGATCTATCTAATCCAATTGATTTAGAATTAAATTAAAATTAAGCCATTTATTCTTAATAAATGAATGAATCAGTTTTGGATAATTTTTCAAAATTATAATAAAAAGAAGAGATAATATAATAAAAAGAAGAGATAATATAATAAAAAGAATAGAATATATAATAAAATGATTGGTAAAACAAATTTTAATAAGTAATTATTGAAGAGAAACAATAAAAAATAAATAATTATATTAAAATTTAAGAATCTGATGTTATAATTTAAAGTAAAGTTGAAAAATCTAAAGAAATTAATAATATTAATCCTGTAAACATATATGATAATTCAAAAGCATAAGATAATTAAATTATGCAACTTTATCATATAAGAAATTAATATAATACTATTTTGAAATTAGCTGATTATATTGAATAAATGATACCTCTAATTAAATAAACTAAACTTTATTTCTATTCTATGGAATCTAATTTTAATATGTATATTGAATATTTACGAATGGTTTCTAAACAATTATTCATTAAATTACAATAAAAATTTACTTTTTATTAACCTACTTTAGGGTCTTATGATAGATATAAAATATTGGAAAGATAAGTAAAAGGGGAAGATTAAAAAAGACTTGAAAATATACGCATTAGAGAAGGAAATAGTACTGGAATATATTCATGGCTTAAGAAAAGTATATTTAAAAAAATACAATGTGAACCTAGTGACTCATTAGCATTTAATTAGTAATATGAATCAATTAATATTGAATTATATAAAGAATTGTTGAAGATGTTACAAGATTCATTTTACAAATATTAAGATGATTCTGATCCTATATTGAAAAAAATTAAATGTCTATTATACTTATCTATGATATATACTGCTAGATCTAGAGTTTTATTTAATGTAGAACTATAAAATATAGATTATAAAGCAGAAGAACTACTATTAGCTAAAGCAAGAGAGGAACCTGATATACTTTCAGAAAAAGTAACCTCTATATTAGGTGAATATAAATTGGAATATAACTGATCAATATTATTCTAATTAATATTACAAAATATAATATTTCTTTATTTTATTCCAAAAAAATATATTAATCACTTTATATGTTAAATTTATAATTAAAATTATCGTTAGAATACAATGAAATTTTAAGAAATTTAAAGGGAAATCTACACAAATGATGAATTGTGTTTGTTCCTGAAGTTTCATTTAAGAATATCAAGTGCTGCTTGCTTAACTTTGTCTATAATTTAGCTATACTTATCAAGTTAATACAATCTATAATTTCATCCATTTTTTGATATGTTACATTTGATGACAGAAATGATATCTATTTTATTTGCAATTTTAGGTTTAGTTTATTCATTTTCATATATTACAAAGTTACAATAAGCAAATTGTTAATATTATGAAAATTAAAATGATAATATATCTAGATTTTTATTTATTGCCATCTGTTTTACATTAACAATAGTGATAACTTTGGGAGTCATGAATCCAATATTTTATGGAATAGGAATGTAATCTAAAGTTGCTTAAATGGAACATTCATCATATGAAGATTTATATTTATTATACTAATCAATGAAATCCTAAAGTAATTTAATTATAGAAGTGATTGTATCTGCAGCTTAAACAATAAGTCTCATATTTATGGGTTACGTTTTCTTATTATTTAGTAAGAATACTATTACCTACAATTATTTTATTTATTTTTTTGCTTTGATAGCAAATCTTGTGGCAATTATTATTTATTCAAATGAAAATGACATTAAATCTATAAGTATTATTAATCATGTAATAAAATCTAATGATAAATATTTAATTACTTATATTTCTGGAGTTTCATTATTTATTGCTTTAATAATATTCTCTATATTTTTAATAGATACTTTAGGATAATATTATAGAATATTCAAGAATCCTATTTACAAATTTATTTTAGGGTAATTATTATTTGATAAATTATTTAGAAATATCCTTATTGGTTTTGTATTTGCTTTGATTGGTAGTAATGGATAATTAATAAGAAATCTATAATAATATTAAGAAATTTATTTGGCTAAAGATGAATGTAGAAATTAAATGAATTTAATACCATCTGAAATATTGGAAGATTTAGGATGTTCAAAGAAATATTTTGGAGTCCAAGAATCTTTTTAATTAGATTGTCCAAATGAATAATAAACATAAATTTGGGAACATAAAGAAAATGAAAAATTTGGTTGTATCAATTGGAATTGTTGTAGTCTAATTAGTCAGATATTATTAAAAAAATATATATCATACTGCTTATTAACTAATTGGGAGGCAATTCTCTTAATTATGTTATCATTTATGCTATTTTAAATAAGATTAGTACAAGAAAATGGTAATCTATATTATTTTATTTGACAGCTATTTCCTAAACACTAAAATAAATTGCTCTTTTATTTTCATTTTCTCTAATATTCGCAGGAATATTTGCAGCTAATTCTTTACCAGATATTGAAATCTATAGAAAAACATATGTATCTCCTCTAAATTACATACCAGTAAATAATTTGAATACTTTACAAACTCATCAAATGTTTTAAGTAATTGATTGGCTCCCTTAATAATGTTCTTAAAAAGTACCTATAGAGATAATATAAAATATTAAAGATTATTGTTCAAATTAATGTAAATAAATTGATCTCATTCTTTCAATTTAAAATGGATAATTTTTAGTAAATAAAATAAATCAAAAAGATATAATTATATCTTAAGAAGATAATGTTGACTAAGAATTTTTATATCTTTAAGGTAATTTTAAAGAAATCATTGAACATATAGAAGATAAAATTTAAGTGTGTCTATTTTCATCATCTGCAGCTATAAAATGGAATTTTGAATATTCTGAATAAAAAGGATTACATAAACATACTAAATAATTAGATTCTTTATTAATACATGAATAAATTATGTAAATACCTTCAAAAGTTTAATAAGAAGCATTAAACTAATTAATTAAATATTACAATATTTAATTAGTTTTCTATTAAAATAACTTTTTACCAATAGGAACACAAATAACAATTTATAATTCATTATTATATAATTGTTAAAGTATTAATATTAATGCTGAGAAAAGTATTTTGATTAATGAATCAAATATTGAAAAAAATGAATTAGCATTTTACAATTATCCTTAAGGTTAATATGCTACAATTGTATTCAATACTGACAATTATCAAAGTTGTATTTACATCTAAAGTAATTAAAATATTTATATACATCCTATTATTCCAATTTAGTCAGATCTGACTATAACTTTATCTTGGTTTGGAATGTATGATTTAGATTTAATTGTAGAAAATAAAATTTGTAAAGTAGGTAAAAAATATTAAAATGAATGTGGAACTATTAAGACTCACTTTGATTCACTTATTGGCAATTAATAAACTTCTACAAACTTATCAAATGGAGAATAAATTACAATAGATTATTTATCTACTTATGATTATAAGATTTATGTTTAAATTACATTGAATAAGGAGGAATTTATCAGATTAAAAAAAACTTAATAAGATAATATTAATCTTTATTAATAATCAAATGCTTAAGTACAAATCTTTGCTAAAAATAGTAGATATCCTTAAGCTAATATATTTATTAAATAAATAGTTTAAGCTACATAAACAATCAAAGAAAATGATAAATTTAAATATAAATGGTTTGTTGGTTGTATAAAAAATGGAGAAGTATTAAATGTTATTAATCAAATCAAAATTAATTATGAGTGTTGATATTTACTTTTAAATATATATCATTATATTCTTAAATCATTTATTTTCTTTGAGAAGTCTTCCTATTGAAGTTTAACTTCCTTTTATATCTATATTCTCTTTATACAAAGATGATTTTCTAACTTCAAAATAGGTGGATTCCTTAATAAAATATATATATATTTAATACTTTAATATTTTTGAGATCTTAACCTCTTTTCTTATATGCATCAAATTCTGCTTGAAGCATCATTAAGTCTTCTTAAACTCTATGATAATCTTTATTCAAAATAGAGAATTTATTTTTCCAAGTTTCCACTTCATTTTATAAATAACTAATTCTTTCTTCTAAATTAGAAAAATCAATATTATTATTTTATTCAATTTATCTCATTTATGAATCCAATTCTACTAATTACATTTATTTTATTCTAAGTTCTTCTAATAATTTCTCTAACTTAAATCTTAATGAACTTTCAGATTCAATCTTATTTTCTAATTCTCTTTACAAATTTTTAGTCTATAAATTAGTTTATTCATTCAAATATTTCAACTATTACTCCACACCTTATAAATGAGATATCTAATCTTATTAGAAATGATTTTTCTTATTTAATTCTTCTTCTAAAGATAGCTAATATTTAAGATCGTTCTTTAAACTATCAATTTACTTAATATATTCATCTATTTATTATTACAACTATTTTATTTTAATATCTTAATTCTAACTATTTTAAAGAGTACTTTCCTTATATTTTTAGAAATCTTCATCATATTATTATTTACTATTTTAAAGTTGAGATAATTATTCATTTTGATAATTATATTATTCTTATAATTAATTGTTTTAAATTTTTAATCTTTCCAATTCAAAGCATTTAAGTAATATTTATTATATTAATTATAATTTTTCTTCTTTTAAATTATCTTCATTAAAAATATGAATCTCATGTTGTTATTCTAATTTATTAATTTATTCTGATGAGATCTATTTATAATTTACTAAAGATGATTCAAGATCTTTATTTTAAAGTAATAAATGATCTTTCTCTTTATTCAATTAATTTATTTATTCATTTAACTATAATTTTTAATTTTCTATTTCCCTTATTTATTCATCAATATATTTTTTTTATTCTTCAACTTAAACCTTATATTATTTAATTTCATTCTCTAATAAATTAGATTTATCTTCAAGTTCAGTGTTTTGTTATTGCAAATCACAAATCAAATTCTATGATGATTTATTAATTTCTATCTATGATTCTAATTATTTTTCTAATTATAAAAGACTTTCTGATTTTAAATTTAGTTCATCTTTCAATTCAATATTTATGGCTTCATGTTAGCTTAATTTTAATTACTAGTTTTTAATCTACTCATCAGAATTATTTAATTTTGTTTTTGTTATTTATAATTCTTGAGATATTTGATCTAATTCATTTATTTTTTCTTTTAATTAAGAATTCAAGTCTTAATTATTTTCTTACAAATCATCAATTTCTTTAATTTTATTTTCTAATTCTTATTTAGTTTATTAAAATTGATTTTCTAAAACTTCTCTTTCTTATTTTGTTAATTCATGCTCATTGTATTTGTTTGTTAATAAATTTTAATGATGTTCAGTCTATTGAATTAATTAACTTTGCAAAACTTGATTAGTTTGATCATTAATAATTATTTATTAATTTAATTACAAGTTTTATTCTCTTTATCCATTTAATTCAGTTTCTAATTAATTAATCTTATTATTTAAATTATCTCTTTCTTTTTCAATAATATCTATCTTATCCATATATTATTATTCATTTTATTGAGATTAACCTAATTTCTTTTCTAACAATTCCAAATTCTCTCTAAATGTTTGCATTAAAGAATCTTTTTAAGCAAGCATTTGTTATGTTTATGAATCTTTTTGAGTAATTTCAAATTTAAGTTCATGGATTATATTATTTGAGAATAAGAGCTCTTATTCATTATTATTAGATTTCTATTATAATTCTAAGATTTAATGATTCCTTTCTTCAATTACATTTTACCCTATTTATAATTGCTTTTCATAATCTTAGACTCTAAATTTCAACTATGAAATGCCTTCATTTTTATCTTCAATCACATATTGTAATCTCTCGATTTCAGAACTTAAAAGTGCAATTTTATTTTCAAGTACTTCTTATTATTTTAACTAAGTAGTTAAGAATCTAATTTAATCATCTTAATATTAGAATTATGATTTAAAAGTATTAAGCTCTGAATTTAAATAAGTTACTTCTTGCTTATGATTTTTTTAAGTTTCTTCTAATAATTTTCTCATACTCTCAATTTCCATGCTTGTATTAACCCAAACTTATTATTCACTATCATATTTCTCTACCTACAAATCTAATTCATTTTAAAGTTCATTTACTCTTTGATTTAATTTATTATTTTCTTATGTCAATTAATCAATTAAGGTTTCCTAACATTAATAGATAGCTTACATGTCCTTAACATTTTTTTTCTGTACACAGCTTTACAGTTCTAGTCTCTATAACTGGTCTATATGTTGTAGTAGTAACAGTTGCTTTAGGTCTTGATTAATAGGTTGTAACCTTTGCTAATCTACCACAAGAATCAGGACGTTTTTCTCTTGGAGGAGAATTGACAACTCTAGTTGTAGCAATAGTCTGAGTTTGAAAAAATTTGGGAGATTATGGTCTCATTTTAAGAGAATTCGTTAAATTTATTAATAATTTTAATACAGTTAAAATGAATTAAGATTAAATAAATGAATAAGGGCTAATTAATTTAATAAATTATCATATAATCTAATAATTATATGATTCACTTACAATTTAAGAATATAATAGTAAGTTCTTAAATAAATTTATAAAATAATTGTCAAAAATTGATACTGGATAATTTATAATTTAGATACTTAGAATAATTTTGATGAAAACAATTAAATAGTTGAAATATAAAATAAATTATCAAATAATATTCAAAATAAATATATCAATAATGGAGTTATTTTAAAAATTATAATATGAATTTGGGATTTTGTTAATATAAAAGTAACTATAAATGCTTCTAATAGGTGAAAACTAATTTGGAAGGCTATTTTGACTACATAGAAAATTGTTATTGTTAAGTTATCTTATAGATTTTATTCTAGGATTATATTTACTAGAATTTTGTTTCAGATACTTAAATAATAAGATTATTTTGAGAACCTAAATAAAATAATAATTTATTAATATTTGCTAAGAGAATAATTATATTGTGATTTATATAAAGAATATACCTATAGAATAATTAAGAAGTTTCTATTCATTACAACATAATTAATCTTAGGATATTGCATTTTTTTCATTCTATTTAAACCTTTCTGAATCTTACTATCTATTTATTAAAATAGGTATTTCTTATTCATAAAATTTTATGTTATTTAATTATATCTAAATCATAATAAATATTATAAATTTATTATATATCTAACTTATCTATAATTCATTATCACAAACACATCAATTATACTTTCTTAGTATTTAAATTATACACAATAAATTTTTAAAATATTATCAATTATAATTATAAAAATTCTTTATTCAATTATGTAATTTCTGAGTAAAAAATTTAGATTTTTTTGATTTTTAAAGATATCATAAAATATGAACAAATAAATATGTTGAAATTATATAAAAATCGAATATTTTATTTAGCATAAAAGGATTATTTATACTTTAATTTGAGAATGGCAAATAAAATCTTTAGTTATCCAAAAAAACCAAAAATTTAATTACTTATATATTTTATATTTAGGTGAGCTTAGAAAAACACTTTTTATGATTCACTTATTGATATTTTTGAATTAATAGTGATGTTTTTTTTAAATTTTAAATTTTATTTATGAAATATTTATAAAAGCATCAAAATATGTTTATATAGGTGTGTTATATAGTATTAGGATAGTATAAATATACAATTAATGTTAGATTATTGAGGGTTTATTGAATGGATAACATATTATAAAAAATTGATTAAGAAATAATCGAGATTTGTAAAATATTTAAAAAAATAGATATTTATATTTGATTGCATGAGCAGAAAAGAATAAGACATCAAAAGATTGATTGCTTCATAAGTAAAAATGTTATTTAGATTTCTCTATAGTGCCACATTGGAACAAAACAACTTCATTTTGACATGAAGAGATATGTATCTCATAGAAGTGATAATGGTTCATACATTCTCAATTTAGAAGAAACCTGGTAACACATTAAATTGGCTGCCAGAGTTATTGCTGCAATTGAATAACCTCAAGATGTTATGGTATGATAAAAATGAATAATTCAGGTTGTTTCATCAAGACCAATTGGTTAAAGAGCAGTCATTAAGTTTGCTCACTATACATAAGCCAGTTCAACTAGATCAGCAAGATGGACACCAGGTACATTGACAAATCAATCCAACAGTGCTAGTGGTAAATTCTAAGAACCACAATTATTGATTGTCACAGACCCACATTTGGTAAGAATATTTGAATTCATATATTTTTATAGGATAGATAAGCTATTGTTGAAGCCTCATACGTTAACATTCCAGTCATTGCCTTATGCAACTCTGACACTCCATTATAATATGTTGATATCCCTATCCCAGTTGGAAACAGAGAAACAAAATCCATTTCAATGATTTATTGGTTATTGGCTAGAGAAGTCAAAATCTTAAGAGGAGAATTGAGATAAGGTATATATAGATAATTTTACATTTTTTTAGATGAAGAATGGGATGTATTGGTTGATTTGTTCTATCATAAAGAAATTACCAATGATTAATTGGGTATCACAGACACTTAAGTCAAATAAGAAGCTGAAGGTGAAGATCATGAACAATTAGCTGAAGGTGAAAAGGTAGATAAAGACTGGTGATAAAATATATTAATATTATGTAAAGTACATGTATAAGGAATGCTTTTAATTTTATTAATTATATTATTATTTCTTTAATTTATGAGTAATACTTTTAAATCTGCAGGCAAT